GGTTGTTTAAACCGTTGTCCATTCATGGGTCATTTTTTCCTGGTGGAGAGTGCTTTTGTGTGTGACTTTTGATTCAGTCACCAAGTTGCTGTGCATGTCAATTTTCTTCTGTTATAAAGATAATCACTTGCTTTGGGGCACGTGATTAGTAAGGGGTATTGCAGCATACCTGTGTACTAAAATTGCTTATTTCTATGGAGTGAATTTTTACGAGTGGCCTCTGACAGAAGTGGCAAGTTTCTTTTGCTGTCCAGTGTAAATTCAACTAATAAAATTTACTTTTTTGTCAAACGTAAATTTGAATACATTTCCAAGGCTACTTGTACTAGTTTGACAATAAGCTAACAACTGCAGGGGTGGATTCAGGAATTTTCTGGGGGGGGGGGAGGTTCAATCAGGCCCGTCAGATTTGTTTACGTCCTATTTTTGCGGAGAGGCAAACACGTGACAGAGCTACATGTACATGTATACTAGACTTGACTCAAGTTGGGATCTCTCTAACGCTTTTGTTTCTGCACTGGATACGTATCGAGACCGCGTGCCGTTACTTGCTTCGCGCCCTCTTGTGTCCACTCATTGCTATGAGTTCAGTTCAGAAATCCCGACTTGACGAATCTGCCAATCGTTTGTACACAGCGAATGACTCATCTACCAAAAATGATAGCAGCCAATCACATTGCCGGACTTGTTTTACGTCGTTCATACATGCACTATAATGAATGAGCTGGTCTACAAGTCTGACTACTTTGATCGGTGGAAATTCAGTATACATTATGCAAGATCATGCCGTTCCTATGCGATTATGAATAACTACATGTACATGTACATGTACATATCACCGACGGGGGGTCCGATTGGCTTGTCCATCGAGTCGGACGAACTGACTGGTGGCCTACATGTACATGTATGGCACATGTTGTACAGTAAATAATGAGGGCGCCTTTTAGGGATTACGCGAGCTGCCGGGCCGAGCGCAACAATCGTGTGTATGTACAGAGCATACCAGCTTAAGGGATGGCTAAGAGGGAAGAGCAACGATTCAAGTCTTAGCTAATACATAAGGCCGTGCACAAATCCCGGATAAACCTTACAGAATGCCTCTTTTTTTTCCAATTCTTGTTTTAGCCTTCTATGCCAGTAATACAGGCGATTCACATTAGTGCGCCTCCTACAGTTTGCAACACACTGACCTACACGTACATCTATCGCAATGAAACCTGTCGATCAGATGTGCTTTTGGAAATGGTCAACAGATTTCAGGCATTGTGATTGGTTGATGTGTCACAAACTCTCGGAGGTGCACTATTGTAAAACGCCCACACTGTCATGATTGTTATTTCATTTTTTTTTACTTTTCTTTTCGTATAGGAATAGGGGCCCGGTGACCCCCCCTTAATCCGTACCTGCTCCAAGCCATAGTGAATGAATCTTGGAAGGTGAAAAAACTTGGCCAGTGAAATACCATACACAGTGTATGACATACATAAACTTGTTCATATCACATGTATACGTACAAATTTTAGGGGAACTTCGTTGCTGCTGTGGGGTCAGACCATCAATTTCCTTGCCCAATCAGGGGCCAATTTCATAGAACTGCTTAAGCACAAAAAAACCTTGCTTAATAAACAAAGGTTACCAGCTCAAACTCTATGTGATTGTCATGCTAACCAAAAGACAGGTACATACACTGTACCATTCCAAAGCAATACACATCACTTAAGAAGTTTTGGCTAGTACATGTAACTTGATTTGTCAAGCAAGGTTTTTTCACGCTTAAAACAAATTTTTCGCTTTCATGTAAGCAGCACTATGAAATTGGTTCCTGGTGTTTTTGGCATCCTCAAGGAACCTACATGTATCTGAAATACTGCAGACATGTCCATGTCCATGTCCATGTAGGCCTACTTACTCCTTTTTGATGCTGATGCCGCCCCCTGTTCCCGTTGCCCAGCCAAGATGATAGAACTGCCTCAACAATTCGGGGATTAGATTCCTAGGATGATCCTGCCACCAAAAAAAACGGTACGATAATTTGTCATTCGAATGTCACTTAAGAATTTGATTGGTGCTTGAGAAACAAATGTACTAAGAATTTAGAAACAAGTTCTGTAACTCATGCAACGTCTGACATATGTCTGAACATGCACTGCAGCCAATAAACCTTTTTGACGTTCGCAAAGCATGATAGGTTCGGATGACAAACAAGCGATACATTTTATGCACAACCCTATGGGAGAAGTGTACCTCCAAAATGTTAATCTGTTTCCATTTTATTTTACACTCCAATTCAAGCCATCCCCTTCTGACATCGTGTTGCATTATTGATTTGGGATGAAAATATTCAAAAACTTCAAAGTTTAAAGCTTGGCAGAAAAGGAAAATTTGAGGAAACCTTTAAAACGTACACAAGTTTTTGTCATGGACTGTAGTTTGACTTAGATTGTGAATATTATATTGCTCTAGTATTGTCAATCAAAATCACGACTCGTAGCCCATCCTGCATTGACGAGTCACCTTTATTTTCAGCCTGTAGAGTGACTGGTGTACTGAAAACAGTCAAGTAAGGGTGATTTCTTCCTCTTACAAACATTTGAAAAATTAGTCGTTATATGAAAAATGTTTCTTGTCTACTTGTGGGAATACGCATGCATATGCCAGGTGACGAGCAGATACATAGAAATATTCTGGAAAAAACTGTTAAATGATTTTCCTGACTGGATCATTTGCCCCATGGCATTCATGTAAATGTAGGTTTATGCATAAAATGCATGGCTTGTTTATTCAAGCCCCCATCAATAATTGGCTATTTGAATACCCGACCTTCAGTTCAATTGAATATTTGAATATTCGATCGCACAGGATGGTGGATTGTTGATGAGCAAAACATACAAAATCAGTCGCGATAACACACACAATTTCACATTATAATTACTAAAATAGCTTTTCACTTTTATTTCAAGTTGAAATATTGTCATGAATGTTTCGTTGTATTTTTATTTTAACAAAGTTTACATGTACCGGTACATCAAAACATCATCATTATTACAAAGAAAACTATCTTGGCGCATTAAACTTTTCTGTTAAAAAGTCATTTCCATATTAGCTGCCTTAGTGTCTGGAATCTGCTTGGAAGAACAAGCCTCCGTACTGAGATTTTTATCATTCAAAAAAGGAAATCCAAAAAATAATAATCGCATATTGGGTAGCCTAATGATGGATTGAATATGCAAATATTCAGATACATGTACATGTAGCCTAGGCCTACATGTATTTGGCACAGCCCTAACCCATAATGTATTGCAAATGTCAAAAAGGTTTATAGGCCTTATTGTCATGAAAGTCTGGTTTTACATGTACTGGTAGCATTGGACTCGGAGGTACATGTACATTTATGTAATAAAATTTAGTACGCCTCAATGAATATGGAAAGTGACATACTGGTATAATGTACCTGACGTGTACATGCATGTTCGGCATTGTTTGTACGATCATGGAAGAAGGTACATTGTATGACCGTGTCCCCTTTGTACATGCACCGGTACACGTACATAGGACATACAATTACAATATTTTCTACATTTATCATGTTAATCATCACCTGATGATCATGGCAATTCATACAAGGCATCTACGCCTACATGTATATAGGCCTAGGCCCTATTTCAATTCGACATGTTCGACTTGCCTTTTCGTATGATGGATCCATGGTGAGTAGACCTATGCTGTAATGTTCAAACTGTTTGGCAGACTTCCTTCTTTCAAGTCCAAGTTTCGTCGCTTCTAGATCTGATTCTGATGTACCTTCATCAATCAGGCACTGGCACTTGCTAATGAACCTATCTGACTATGGCCCCTAGATACAATCAAAAATACATGTAGCTTGTCATGTGAATGTCAGCTTGTTGACACAATGCTTGACCCATGAACATGATGAAGGACATGGAACGTGGAATATCAATGATGGACAGTATCGATGGAAGAAAAACAAAAAACATGCAGGCCTCCTTGGCCTACGGTTTACCCTGGTTTTCTTCAACCAAGTAACGGCTGCCACGTTGTCACAACACAGCTCGTCTAGGGAGGGCAAAAACAGGTGCTTATAAAATCCCGCAGTTGTGTAATGAATCATATCACCCTACACCGCGCGGTATCACGGGAAATGATGAAGATAAGTTACTATCGATGACGATGTTCGCTGTGTGTTGCAGGATAATAGCCTTGAATTCACGGTCAGTTTAAATGTTTTGAAACCTAAAGAATCGATACCTCATTCAAAATGGCGGCCTCCATTGGATTTACCGCATCGCGACGATGGTTTTTCAAATCCATGCCGCCTTTGATTCAGCTCAGAAAACCTTTCCCAAGACGGTGCAATGTGCGAAACATCACCAGAAGCAATTTTCTTGCAGGTTTGAAAGAGTTGTAAATAACACGTGTGTAGCAAATTAGTGGTTTAATTCCAGGATAACTTTGCCCAATATCCGGACATGCCGAATGATATAGCCTACCCTACACTTAATCCTACATGTAATTGTACGTGATGTAATAGTACAAAGTCAGGCTAGGGCTACCATGTTTACATGTACATTGTTTATTTATTGATTTCCCTCCCCCCCATCATGCCCATGCACAGCATTCTTTTTCTATCCTTCTCTTTTATTTAGTTTCCTGTGTCGTCTTTCCTCTGGCCAACAACATATAAAATAGTTACAGATCATCCTACCACCAGAAGACATAGGAAACTAAATAAAAGAGAAGATGTACAGAAAAAGAACGCTATGGGGCAGCAAAATGACACGTACTGCGCCGGTGAGAACAGCAACCTTGGTGACGTATGCACGCACCAGCCAGTCCGAGGATGGGGTTTCACAATCTTTCTTTGATCTGTACGTACGCGTGCGCTCGTTGCAGTTGTTTTCATCGGCGCGGTGTGGTTGCTACCCGTATTTTTGTGAAACTCTCGGATGTCCGCGCTGCCCCATATGCATGGGGGGAGGGAGAGACAAGATGAAGGGAAATGATTATACATGTAGGCCTAGCCCTATAGCCTTAGTGGCCTACACCTACATATATTTCAGGGAGGACGGAAGGGGCTTGCGTGTGATGTGCATACAATGGCCTGTAAGCCTATTCCATTCATTAAAAGGGGTGTGAACTATTTCATTTAAAGCTGCACGTACATGTACAAGTAGATGTACATGTACTGTACATGTGCACATTTGCAATGTACAGTACATGTGTACATGCACATTTACATATACGACCAGGGGTGTACGTTAGCTTGTATTATGGATAGTGGACACTATGGTGCGGCACCATTGTGTTCAGGTAAAATCTTTCGAGTTTCTCCAAATTTGCCGACTTCAAATGGTGTCCACCTGTTGTGTCTGCCATGCTTCAAAAAGGCTAATGTACATGTGCATAATGTACCGTGTTGGATTGCTGCTGATATTTTTCTATTACTTCATTTTGCCAGGAGTGGAAGGAACTAAACTCCTGATGCCTGCTCTCTCACCAACAATGGAGGAAGGGACGATTCTCAAATGGCTCAAACGAGAAGGTACAAATGCAGATATGTGTGTCTTAAATTCCAGGTTTCGTTTGCATCTTGTCCACTTTCATGACTTTGTCTTCTGTTCTGAGTTTGGGGTCATTTGATGAGACTTCCATTTTGTCATGTTTCCAACTTGAGCTCAAGAACCTCAGTGCAAAGGCTGGTGTGCATGGCTGGAAATTGTAATCCATTTAACTAAGCCAGTGTGCATAACATTTAATGAAAACCTGAAACCTACATGTACATGAACGTGTGTCAGCCGATAGGCAATAATGTTTCATTGTTTTTCCAGGTGATGTAATAGCAGCCGGGGACGCCCTGTGCGAGATTGAGACAGACAAGGCCACTCTGACGTTGGATGCAGACGACGATGGAGTGCTTGCCAAGATTCTGGTGAGATTGGGAAGCCTGTGCCTTTCCTCAAATGGCAGACAACAGCAGAACATTGAAAAATGATTGAGTGCCATGTTTCATTTCTTCCACCGTAAGATGCTGTCGATTTACTTTGTGCACATTCCGTTGACAATTGGTCACATGTCCTCAATATTGCCGTAGTCCATGCGTGCCCATAGGAATTCACAGAGAGTGCTTTTGGTTTTATAGCACAAGTTTTGAAATAGTTTTATTCTTAAAGTTCTTTTCCGGGATTTCCCCCCCCCAAAAAAAACCAATGTTGTTGAAATTTGTCTTTTTCTCCAGGTTCCTGAAGGCACGTCTGGGGTGAAGATCAGCTCCTTGATTGCCCTTCTCGTCGCAGAGGGGGAGGATTACAAGGCTGTTGAAATGCCAGCAGACGCCGATGCTGGTCCACCACCAGGAGACGCGACAGTATCGGAGGGACAGATCCATGGGGTGTCTGACACGGTGCAGTTTTCCAGCATGAGACACGCTGTGGGAAAAGACAGGTTGGTGCTATTCCAAAATGGAACAACACGTACCATTACACCCAAACCGTGTACGTGTATGGTCTATGTACAAATGGAACTTTGGAAGTAAACCTACCAAAGCACTTGGGTTTTGTGTGCTTTAACCCTTTAACCCCCTAGACCCTTTTTGCTAAGGACCCGCCGTCACTGGACGTTGGCCTGGTGTAGTTTTTTTTTTTGGGACATGGAAATTTTAATCATGGTTCCTCTCTTGCATATCCCTATCATGGATTGGGAGCATTCATCACTCCATTTGCCATACTTTGGCGTCATTCTCGATCTGTTCAGTGGTGATGCAGTCTTTTGCTTCCAGAACAGACGGGGTCCTCTGAGGAGGATGCAAATTTCAGCCAGGGAGTTTCCGTTTCACGTCACAGATCCCTTCCCAATTGCAGCCTTGGATGAACTCGGGGCAGTACCGAAGCCATGCTGGTTTTGCATAGATGGCATCGGTGGAATCCTTCTCAGACCACGGTAGCTTTAAGGTGGTGCTGTACTTTTCTTTTATATAGTGGTGTGTTATCTCCCGCCGTACGACAGCTCCTCGACACACATCAACTCAGCGCCGGAGACATCCTACCCAGCGGGCCCCACGGACGATTGCTCAAGGGGTGAGGTTCAGGGAAAAATTCATCTGCTTTAAAACCTCAGAGGAAACTCCGATTAATAGTGTGCATGACCATGTTACAAAATGTCACCGTCTTTCTGCAACTTTCTTCAAAATTATTGTTGACCTTGAAAAGTGCATTGGGTCAAAATGAATCAAAATTTGGTCTGGTGTTTTGATTGGTTTGACAATTTCAATTTAAGACGTATGAAGAAGTTGAAGCTTTGATTGTCTCCTGGCAGTGATGTTCTTCAGTACATTCAAGAAGGTGGAGCCAAGAAATCCCCCTCCGTTGAAGCCAAAGTGCCAGAACCCACGCCGCAAGCTCAGACAGCAACCCCTGCACCGAAATTTGTGCCGCCTGCAACGGAGCTCCAACAACAGGTATTGTTGTCCTGAGAACAACGAACCAAAACAGAACAGGAAACATAATCTTCTTGTCCCTGAGTCACGTGCAGTTTGTTGCCCTGTGTCAATGAAACTATGCACATCCACTGCTAGAGGGACTCTAGGACCGTAGGTTGAATCTTGTGTCTGGAACCACGCCTAGCTCTTTGCCGGTTATGAATACATGGATACCAACAGACAATAGACACATTGCTTTACTTCTGGAAGTCTGTTTTGAACACAGACTTAGGCCGCATTGCGTGGTCGTTCACTGTCGTAATTCCTGACAGTACAAAGTGCAAATGAAGCACTATTGACATGTGAATCAGCCAGCTGCACAAGTCCCTTCCCCTTGTCATTTGCTGTAATTGTATCCCCCGCGTAACAAGCTGCGCACACACTGACTGAGGTCGTGCTTAATATACGTTGGGTAAGGGCAAAACCGTTATATATAATTAACATCTCCCCAATGCAAAAATACATCTTGAAAATGAGGTCGTGCTGTTTCGTTATCTCCTCCTCCACCCCAGGCCACCTATACAGATATTGAACTGACCAACATCAGGAAAGTGATCGCCAAGAGGTTGACAGAATCCAAGGTAAATGGGGAACAATCAACGGAAGTCCTTACTTCTGTGTATCATTGCTCCAAATACGAGTCCATGCTTTCCAAGCACAGAAGACCCTTTGCCAGATTGGTTTGGTGTCAGAACTTCTGATTCCCAACTTGTCATGTTTGGACTTGTAAGGAAAAGAGTACCGACCTGCTATTTCTGTCTATTGCAGTTCTTCTCCAAAAAGTTGAGAACAATGTATAGCTTTCTTGGGGAATTGATGGCTTCCCAAATGCTTCACAGTGACCATCAAGACAAATCCTACATTTGTTATCAAGTCAGGCTTAGAACTAAGATTTGCTAACGATTAAGCTCCAGATCATGTACCCACAAAGAAAAAATCAGTTGGATGCGCCAGTAAATAGTTTTTCATCGATTCTTCATTTATAACTTAATTTTTATATATATACACTGTAGTTACCATTTTCTTTGAATTTATTTATTTCTTTGGCAGAGGACTATACCCCACAGCTATGCCAGTACCGAGTGCAACATGGATCATGTCATGAAAATCAGGAAAGATCTGCAGCAGGAAGGCATCAAGGTATCTGTCAATGACTTCATTATCAAGGCCGCTGCTGTGGCACTCAAGGTAGGATTGGTTGGTTTGTGCTAGGAGGTTTTTAACCGTCAGATAAGATCTGCAAAATGACCAAGTTGGCAAGAAACGTGTATGAATGATGTTTCAGGCCTTTGAAGTTGCCACTGTACCGGAATAACGAACGGTCAGCCAAATATCACAAACATAGTTTCTGGTTTAAGTGAGTTTTTTCACTGACATTAAATTGATTCAAACGGAACTGAAAAAAAAAAAATGTATGTGAAAAGCTTGGGATCAATTTTACTTATTGACGCACCCGATCAACAGGAACTGCCAGATGTCAATGCCTCCTGGTCGGGGAAAGAACCTCAGCGGCTGCCGGATATTGACATATCAGTTGCCGTTGCAACCGACAAAGGACTCATCACCCCTATTGTCAAGAACGCTATCGGGAAAGGTCTGGTGGAAATCTCGGAGAACGTGAAGGTAAGCTAGCCAAGCTGAGGTCACAGGCAGAATAGTCGTCCCATCAGCACGTACCGTAGCCCAGTCGAGCATTTCTTCCTAAAAGTGGTTTGGTGTAGAAAGACAATATACATGGGGCAACAGCCAACAGCAATTCACACGCTTAAAACACAGCGCCCTCGATTGGAATTTTTGTACATCTTGTATGAGGGGTTTGCATTGAGATCCCTCTTGGTGTGTTGGTCTTGTAGGACTTAGCAGCTAGGGCAAGAGAAGGCAAACTACAGCTCCATGAGTTCCAAGGCGGATCATTCAGGTAAGGGCAGGATCACTGTGTACATGTAGATGCTGATAATGTCATAATTATACTTGTATGTGTCTCCGTTTTTATTCCTAAATGTTAACCAATAAACATGCACACCCACGCCTGTAAAATGCCCTTAACTCACGCTCACCAATTGTCCTTGACTCATACTCATTGAGTGTCCTTCATTCCCCCTCACCGAGTATCCTTGATGCACACTCAGTGAGTATTCTCTACTCCTGCTTTCTGAGTGTCCTTGATTTGTTTTAAGTACCCTTGCCTTATACTTGTTTATCCTCGCTCAGAGTCAGTGGGTATCTTTGACTCGTACACTTTGAGAGCCCTTCCTCAGTACCCACTGAGTGACCTTCACTCATGAGCACCCTAGACTCATATTTAAGTTTTACTGAGCATGAGTCAAGGGCACTTGACTCGTGCAAGGCCGCTTTTGATGGAGCTGTTGTCCAAACTAAATGGCCCTTAAAATCTTTGTCAGTATGATGGCTGTCGCTGTGCTCTCTCCATCTTTTGATGTTCATCATCACAAGCCTGGGTTTCTATCACCTTCGTGTGCCAATTACAATTTGCACTTTCCTTTGGGTCCTGCCAGTATTTCCAATCTGGGTATGTTCGGCATCAGCAAATTCACCGCCGTCATCAACCCGCCCCAGGCCTGCATCCTGGCAGTGGGCACGGCCCGGATGACCCTCAGCAAATCCCTGAAGCCACAGGCCATGACCACCGTCATGCTGTCCAGCGACGGCCGGGTAGTGGATGACGCCTTGGCGGCCACGTTCCTGCGGTCCTTCAAGAAGAACCTCGAGAACCCTCTCCGATTGGGAATTTTATGATTTGATATTAAAGAAGAGAGTTTTAAAATTTCTGCATTGCATAGGAAAAGAACAATTGTAAACTGGACTTTAAAAACTAGAGGAAAATGTTTTAACCACTCCCTGCCGGGTGACCCGTTTTCGAGTACATAGGCTTCATATGCAGAGCCGGGGAGCCCGGAACTGGGACAAAAGAGTTGGGCTTTATAACAAAAGACCGTGCTCAGCACAAAAGACTGAGCTGCTGGGCATTACCGACACTTTTTCGCTCTCGATAGTGGAGATAATCCAGCCTTGTTTTGAAACAGTATACCACGGTTTGAGGCATTTAGAGGGAGCGGATTACCACCGGGGACAAAAGCTCTCCACCACCGCAGCGATGAGCCACACAGCACCGCTGCACGCTAATCTGGCCCCTATTGAAAAGAGGTCAGCAGTGCACTGTGCCAGTTTTGGGAACAAAAGAATCTTGCGTAACACCGCACAATCTGGGCTGTTTCCAAGGCTGCAGGCCTGGCTGAAATATTCAGGAGTTCAATGAATTTTACCTGGCAGCTTTAGAGTAGTGCCCAAAGAGTCCTTCATTTTGGTATGAACGGCCATTAAATGAAATGATGAATTTTTGAAGAATTTTGAAAACGGAAAATCTTGAAAATGACCCGGCATCTTGTCTTGCTGAAGAAAACTCCACCCGGCAGCAAGTGGTTAAAACACCTGAGAAGGCTCATAATCATAATACTACGGCTCAAAGTGTGGACTGCATTACAATGGTGTGTTATGAAGCTACTTTTTCAATTAATTCTGATTCAACGAGTGGGTAAAGTCAGAGAGGCTTTGCATGGTAGCCATCTTAAAGGACAGCTTTGTTCAAAAGGGTATGTCGAAAGGAGGTTTCCCTGTGGAACAAAAGAATTGCCCTGCTAGATGGCTACCACGCAAAGCCTTTATACGCTGGTATCTGAAGATTAATTACTGTTGAAATGAAATTTGTCCCAGACTCCTTCCAATGAGAAACTCGAGAGAGGCTTGATGGGAGCAAATATGACAGTCCTTGTTTGTTGTGTCAGATTTAGAAAACGCACATTATCTCAAACATGACACAAACAGAAAGGGCTGTTAAGTTTGCCACCACCGAACATCTCAAACCCTCTTTGAATTTACAGACCTCTTGTGACCATTATCCGCAATTTTTTTTTATTGCCTCAATTACATCTGCAGGTTTAAAACTTCCATTACTCAAAACCAAGTTCTTCACCTCCAATACATAATAAAACTTCGACTTAGAATCCCAAGACTATCGGTCGGGTTTTGCAAGACCGGCTGATAATAGGGCAAGTCATTTTGTACAATATCTAGCACATTTCCTCTGCTATTAACAGGGGTCCCGTGATCAAACACCACACGCCAATGTGTCTGTGCACAAGCTGGAAGCATTTACTTTGTAAAATTCAATGAAGCCCTGCATGGTCCCAAGGAAATACTGACAGCACCGGGAGCACGTCATTGTATTGTTTTGAAAGTCCATATTGTTCACATGCGAGAAAAATATTTATTTAGTGAGTGACTGCTGTTGCTTATGCAGAATTAACATTACGATTTACCCAAAATGATGCGTTGTACAGTAAATAAACTTTATTTGGAATGAATACATGTATTTGGATATGGTTATTTGGATATGTCTCTGCCCCAGTCAACAGAAAATCAATATTGAAGACACAAACATCAACTGAGAACAGTAACTCAACAATTAAACTGCCACGAGAAGAGAATTGTTTTAAACGTGACTTTTTTATTTAGATATATAAAATGTACAGACGAAAATAGACAATTATATCATTTCTTAAGTTAGTTGTGCTAAATTAATCTGATTACATTCCCATCTTTATCATATATCACCCCCAAAAAATCAAAATCACAACCCGTGTATACATACTTTCAGGCTTTGGAAGGAATCTCAACATTTCGTAATGACTCACTGGAGGTTGAGAAACTAATGTCATAGATATATGCACCCAGATTTTTAGTGAAGAAAAACAGATTATTAGTAAAAAAAATAATACCTTTATGAGATATTCAAGTCAAACAATCACTCTCTGGGCACTGAACATTTCAACATTGCCTCTGTCCCTGAAGTACCTCAAAATTCAGCCACTTCAGGCCACAATCTGTTAGTTAAATATGATGGTTTCATCAGTCAAAAAAGAAAATGGGGCATGACCCACTCAAAATACTGGAACAGAAATTTATCTCAGTAAATGGAACCAAAAATGAAAATACAATGCCAATATAACCTCTATCAAAATGTTACTGTTTGTAATGAGAAGGCCTATGCTGCGTACATGTACAATGCATACACAGACAGATGACACATTCTTTTACCTTGGCTGAGTATGTTAGTCATTGGAAAAGGCACCAAATAGCTATTATATACACAAAATGCTGTGAGTACTAGAAACTGTTATTTCCACATGACAATAGTTATTTAAGTACTTTTGCCAATTGATATTAGTACCACAGTTACTTTTATTATACAAAATAAAATATTCCTTAGTTCTAGAAATATACATGAATAGTACTTCAGCTGTTCAACAAACAGAGAAAGGTTCACCAAGTTGTAGTCAAGTCCATCATGGGTCCTTTCACAAGTCCTTTCACGAGACCAGTCATAAGTAACGGGTAGAACAAAGGAATACTTTTGTTACGATTCATTTGAAGAGTGTTTGACTTGGCTTGTTGACTTGGATGACATGTGGTGGACTTACAGGGAGTTATGAAGGACTCGATTTCAACACCAAGGTCCAACAAGGTTTCATTCTTAAGGTACTGCATGGTTCCACAAATAAAGGGCTGCAAACAGTGTCATTCATGTCCACACTCGCAAACATCCATCGAGCACGCACAAAAACATAAGCAGTCATAACATTTCCATGCTTATTAGCAAACGATCATCACTCAAAAGCAGATATTATACAGTTGGGGCAGTTTACATACATCTGGTCAAACAAAACCAGTTTTCCTCGAATTTCACTACTTCGCCCTTTTTTATCAACTTTTCTTTTCATGAGGACAGACAAGATGGTTCTCTACTTAATGTGCATGGTGTATGCGTCAAGTAAAAACATCAAGAGACATATTTATGGTTCATATTTATATTTACAAGAAATAAAAATTTTATGTTCTCGCAACCCTATTATTCAGTATTACTCTCTGTATGTTTGGTCACATGTCATAGTCGCAGTGGACCACTTTCTGAGGTGTTTTTGAACCACAATAAGGGGGTCAATTTACATTTTTCACAAAAAGATTTTTCAGAAATGTTGATGTTTTGAATCATAATAAATGTCTCAATAAACATACACACTATTAACATTAAGTTGAGATACAATCTGTAAGACCTCATTGAAAAAAGTTGGCAAAACTATTTCAAACAGCAACTGAGGAAAACTTGTTTTTCTACCAAGTGTAAGTAAACTTTTTGCCCCAACTGGAATTTGGTATTAAAAAACTCCCTCCAGCATGTGAACTCAAACTTTTGGAGAGTTGATGAGAATCGACTGGTCCAAAATTAGTCAAAAAAAATTTTGTCACATGATTTCATCATTTATTTAGCACTACATTTAAGTATTATTGCATTGAATTTTTATAAAATATTATGAACAAATCTTTCTTTTAATATTGCATCCAAAAGATCCTTTAGCAACTTGCAAATTGTTGTAAAAATGTAGTAGAGAATATAATAAAATTCGTTCCTGCAAATTACAATGATTACGATATTTCCAAATTTTTACAACTTCTTGGGTTGACAAAACTAATTAGAAAAAGTGACATACCTGAAAACCTTTATATAGTGTTATTAGGCAGTTATTCCTGTGTAAGAATATGCCAGATTTCCCAAAGTCATGTTTTAAAAGAGTGCTTGAAACAGAACTTCACATAAATGTTTCACGTAGCTTGACAACAGCAATCCTCTTGAGACGGTTTGTCGCTTTTAAAGCGAGCCACTCCAACAAGGAGGACATCCTATTTAATTTCCGGGGGAGGGGCCTAATACTCCTGCGTTATGAAGGCGACAGCAACATAGTGATCGAGCTCAAGGCACGTACAGCCCCTCAAGCTGGGCACTGGGTGGCCCTTATTTAAAACCACACAGCACTGGCAGAGATCAGAAAGGTTGATTTTTGACGAGGGAGGAGAATCAGAGACCCTGGTGAAACCCCCCCCTGGCACAAGACACAGAGAGAGAGAAACGAACAACTGGACTCTCATACAGGCCAGGTCAGGAATTGGACCCGGGTCACAGGGGAAGACAGGTGAATAAATTACACACTAGCCAACTGTGCCCCTCATGGGGTCCACTGAGGGCAGTATAGGCTATGGACCTCTTTCCTGTGATGTCCCAATCGTGCTGGTCTATGATGTGTTGTGACGGTAATCTACCTACTCAAGGTAATCTAGTCAGCATGCAGCGTTTGCACGTGCGCTTAAACATGGTTGAAGTTGCCCCACGGATATATCGTGTGATCACCGTGGCCACGGCAATCCACAGGTGGTGGTATTGTTTACATTTAGCGCAATCCAGTCACATGGGTGAAAAAGGTCTACTGTGGAGAGACTGATTTTTGAGGGGTTGTTTGTTTTTGTTTTGATACTTTAAAGATAGAGTCCGTCAGTCGTCATTCATGCATTAATATTCATCTGAGGCTACAAAAGTGGTCAAAATATAAAGATGGGTAATTTACAACTAAGCTTCAGTTTGAACTCAGTGAATGCTGTATATTGTGAGAATAGCAATATTCTAGAATCTCAATTCATATCAAAAGATGCAGATACATGTAGATGTGTTGAATTGTGCCCTAATTCAGCGCCAGGGACACTGTCGCATTCAGCCAATTGCAGCTCCGCGATGTTGCGCACTGAACGGATGGATCGTAGTAATCGCGTGCACCTGTGCATCGTTTGAACACTGAAATAGGAACTGCAACAGTCATTTCCAAAAATGCATCTGTAGGACTGCCTTCTGTCATTGCTTTCTTTAAAATGACAACTTTCCTGAAAGCTCACACGAGATACGTAACATGACTGGGTCTGTGTGTGCAGGGAGTGACAGGCACGGTGGTTTGGACAGGTAGAAAGGCAAATGGGTCAATGGTTCAGCACCACTACATACACATGGCACCTCTAACGCCATGTTGGAGAAAATCCACTGGGTTATTGCTGGCTTTCCTTTGTGTTATCACACCTTGCAGATTGTCACTGCAGATTCTGGCATTTCTGCTCGTAGCACAGTACGCATGTTTTCTCAACGACACAGGCAGAGTGGAAAGCGTGGCCTAAAAGGCAGGGAAAAAAGTACACACCATTTCAACACATCCTGAAGCCCGACCTATGGCGTACACATCTGCACAAAGATGCATGAAGCTAACGCTCACAAGTTCCAATTCCCAGTTCTTTCACAGTGACTGACATTGCACAGTTTTATCGTTACTTTTCATTTCTCTACTTACCACAGGGGAAAGCCAGCAGTCCAGTCGTCCGTGCAGAAACAGATGTGGACAGTGCATGACCGCAGATTTCACAATCGCTGCATAAGGGACAGATCGGACAGGCTAATGATCTCACTTGAATATCTAGAGTGAGTAAATCTGCACAGAAATTAATCGTTGAGAACACAGCTGACTTCTGAGCCCTCTTCTTGTTGCTAAACTCTTGAAAAAATGGTGAGCAAAATTTTACACCTGTTTCCAAAATCCTTTAGAATTTCTTCACATTTGGAGCGGCTAAAACTCTCCCTTTTCTGGCGAGGTACGTGTGGCCAGACTGAGGGTATTGGAAACAGTTTAGAAGGAAACTTTCTCATAGATTGATGGGACCGTATGTCAGCTACAGGCATATCCCCAAGATATGTCTGTTTCTCTACAGGTAACTAGCAACTACTATTGTCGGAATCTATTGTGGGTGGCAAGCTTACCTGTTCAAGAGAACGTTGGTTCCCCAGTGGCAGTCGTGGTCTTCAATGAAGAGGTAAGAATGTGGGGAGACGGCATCGGGTTCAGGTATCTACATGGTCAAGTATACAACATGGTGTGGAGACTTCTGGTTAACAGGTGGCCCAGCTCAAGCCTCAAGATAATGTAAGCAAGCCGTAAGTCCGTCTTTGCTACTCTGGTCACTGTCCTTACAAAACTTTGGCCGGGTCTCAGGTCATCGGGTCAGGTCCTCACAAAACTCTCGCCAGGTCTTGAACCATGCTGGCCACGTCCTCTTGTCCCTTTGGCCATGCCTCAAGTCACTCTAGCCTGGTCCTTATGCCACTGTGGTCTGGTATTAAGCCACACTGGTTACTTTCCCACATAGCGTTTGTCTAGGTTTAAGCCCACTCTGGTCACGGTTCAAGTCAATATGGTCAAGTCCTCACATCATTAAGGTCAAGCCTAACACCATACGGGTCAAGTCCTCTGTTCTAGCCTCTGATGTTCAAGTACCAAAAATCATAAAATGTAAAAACTGCAACTCCACAAATAATTCAAATATTATTTTCATATTATATGAAATCATGATCAATAATATGAAATTCTGAAGGAAATCCTGACAGTTTTCTCACACTGTTTTGCGTATGTATTTTGTACCTTAGAGACGAACAGTTCTGGATCTGCTTCGTCGTGACTCATCATCCTGGCGCGTTCCTGTATCATCTGGTGATAAATTGGCGGTGCCATCGTGTTGTTGCGCTTGGACCACAGGTACGTATCCGTTCCCTCCAACAAACCCAAGCAAGCATCTCTAGAAAAATTGTTTCAAAATCTCAAACAAATTTCCGAGAAATATTTCAAGCACAAGTGCTGTTGACGCTTGTTCTTCTGTTGATTAGACAGAGAGGGATCAAAGTGCTGAAGCTAGCCCAGCAAAATGGACAGGCCCAGTTAAACAAAAGACAGGACAAGATAATTAAGAGATTACTGATGTTTCAATTACAGAAGGATCTCTGAGCTTTGGAGAAAGATTCTGCTAGACAGACTGAAACATCAGCTTCCATGTTATATAGCACAGTTTTTCACTTTGTTTTGTTTTATAACAGTTCTCAATGCAAGTTAAGCAGAACTTCCCTGCTGACATTTGAATTACGCTAACAGTGCAGATTATTCTGCCATTGGTCTTTGATGGACAGTAAATTTATACATTAATAATTTAGGTCATTCTAGTTAGTTAGCAAACGATATTATAATAATAACAATAATAAGCTTTATTTACAGATGGTAGCCATGTCACCTAAAAACAGATGGTTTTCAAAGAGCCATCTAACAATATTAAAATAGTCAAGAAAAATATACAACTACATTAAGTTATATTCAAACATATTGTTTTAATTCCCTTTTAATGCTGGGCCCAATGGATTGGTAGTTTGGCTATTTCTTACCCTTCGTGTTTTTCTATCATGCTGATCAAGATGCAGTTCCTGTAGAAGTCTCTGGAAAGCTCTCCAGAAGGTATGCTCGTGTCTGTCAGCATCCTAGTCGCCAATCCCGGGCCCATGCTTTTGACCAATAGCGTGCTGATTCTCTTCCATGTGACAGAGGGCGACCAATTGGATGGGAGACGGATGCCTTGCTGGGCATTCTTGCAGTCCATGCCCCAGTCGCATTCAGGCTTGGAGGACGGGTCCTGGCCTGACCAGTCGCAGGCATTGTCTGATGAGGGTTTGGCGGTTGCCGGAGCCATCAACCAATGGCCGTCCTGCTCAGTCAGGAGCAAAGCACTGCAGGACAGACAGCAGATGCTTTTGGAGACAGACTGTGATTTGCTCATCAGGTTGAGCAGCAGGATCCACTCATCCATGTTTTGGGGCAAGACTCCTTCGGCTAAAAAAAGGAATTCAGAATAAGAAATGATCACATGTAAGGTAACACTGACCACTACCAATGAGCCTAAAGTTAAGAACTTGATCTGGCTGGTCGGAATGCACTGATAACTGATGGTTCATTTGGAAGACAATGCACTTTAAATGCAAACTCCAATTTTGCCATATACATGTAGATCTGAGAAAACATTAATTTTGCCTTCTTTTGAGAAAATTTGCAGATTCTCATTCAAAAACAAGGGCCTGTAAACTGTAAGTTCAGATTTGGACATGAAGGATCTGGAAAAATACCTTCATCTGAGAAAAATTTCACATCAGCAAGTTGCAAGGCCACCCTCAGTGCTCGCTGGCGCTGCTGGAGATCCAAGCACAATCTCAATGCACCCTGCCAAAAGCTGCAAGGAAAAGACAAGCAACAACTTACACAAACAGAAATGCACAAATGTGCCGTCACTTGATTGATTATTCTAGTCAAAGCAGGTTTACCAACTCCCAGATTCGTCAGTGGCTTCCGCTCATCTCCGCTCTAGAATCAAGTGGACGCTTTGACATGGAAGCCTTCACCACTTCGTGCTGGGGTTCCCGGTACTGGAGACCTCAGGTTTATACGCATAGCCGGGGGTGCCCGAAATCGGTAAAAGGAGCTGGACCTTATAACAAAGACCTTACCAGGAACAAAAGACTGAGCTGCATCTATTGACGCCAAGGTATTCCAGCCAGACCTGCCGCCTTGTAAAAAGAGCCCAGATTGTACGGTGTTATGTAATTTTCTTTTGTTCCACAAACTGGCACAGTGCGCTGCAGACGTCTTTTCAATAGGGGCCGGATTAGCGTGCAGTGGTACAATGTGGCTCATCGCTGCGGTGGTGGAGCGTTTTTGTCCCCAGTGGTAATCTGCTTGCACTGAATGACCCAAACCATGGTATATTGTTTCAAAACAATGCTGGATTATCGTCACTATTGACAGTGAAAAAAATGTTGGTAATTCCCAGCAGCCTGGTCTTTTGTTACGAGTACAGTCTTTTGTTACAAGGCCCAGTTCCCTTTGTCCAATTTCAGACACCCCGGTTGTGCATATGAAGACTACGTGCCCGAAACCGGGCTCCCCAGCAGCAAGTGGTTAAATGCATGCATCCAAAGCTTTTAATGTCAAATCTTCCAAACGCTGGCCTAATATGATTTTATGCACTTATGAATATGTAGGAGTCCCCAACCTCTGTAGCCAATGAGTTTGAAGTATAAGTCAGAGCCTCAAGGTGAAGATGGAGGCAATGATGCACTTTGGCAAGCCTGCAACAGGACACACTACCTGCTTGCTAGATGCATGTATTGTCAAATAGCCAATTCAAGTATCCTCACCCATGTTGAATGCATGCATTCAGTAGTCTGTCCTTGCATGTGGCAGGTAGGGACAGTATTTCATCAGCCAGGGTACCATACTGCCATTCCTGCATGTGGGATCCAGGCCTTTAACAAAATCAGAAATGGCAATTTCACATTCATAAAATTTTCTGAAAACAAGTCGGACACCTTGACAACAAAGCCACAAGAAGGCTCCAAAAAGTGAATTTGTTTATTTTCAGAATTCCTTTCATGATCAGAGATATTATGTCTTTTTTCGAATTATTTCTCTGTACCTCGGCATATTTCCACAAGCGCAGAACAGATCAGCTGTACCAGGTGCACCCTGGGAAAGGGCACAGGACAACAGATGACAAATGACCTCTTGGTCACTGCAGATGGACGCCAGCATAGAATCTCTGTTTAAGAAAACAAATTTGACATCATCGCATTCTTCAAGTACCTTAAAGATTCAAAATGAAAATTCCGGTATCAATGATGAATGAGGATCACAGACATACAAAGTAATCAGCATTAAAAACAGAGCCAGCACTTCAAATAAAAACAGCCGTAACTACATGTATCAAGATATCATATGAGCTTCTCATAAAGAATTTGGCACATACCATTCTTGAGCCATTTGATCCACAGTTGGGATGCTGTCTATAATAATTTTATGGTTTACGGATCAAAAGTTACAGTGGTTTGAAAGAAGCCTTTTGAAGGAACCTAAAATCTGCCATATTGAAGGATTACAGCGGCACATTTTTCGTACTTCAACTTTCAAGGGCCATCAAGCAGCATCAAGTTGCAGTGGCTGAGCTTTAATCCTGACAACAACCTTCAAAACGTCAAGATAAATTTTAAGGATCTATTAGGGTAAGAGTTAACAACGTAGAAGTCATTCACCTATCCATGGCTTCCACAGATTCCAGCAATGTGGTGGCGTAGTCCAGAAAGCAGCCACGGGGGACAGTGTCTGCCTGGGTTAGGTGCATGACCTCCCATGGGGCCAGGTCCGGGAATGCCCCCACCATGACGTCCAGGGCTGTCTCTGTCTCACCTTGCTGCAACAGCCTGCCGAGAGGGAAGGGATAAAGGTGGTTTCATCTGTGCTTCCATACTATTAGCAAACGACATTAGCGACACAAAATTTCATCCAATCTGTGGACATTTTCCAGTGTGTGTTTTTCTTGCCACAGGAAAGCTGAGCTTGCTTTCAATTATTCAATTCTTGTATTTTTAAACCGTGGAGCTGCAACTGAACTACTGAAGCACAAGTGAAGCCTGCTGGGCGCATCCGTCTTTGGGAAAAACCTGAAATGCAGCTTTTATATCGCTCTTAGATGCATATATCTGCATCTGTTTTCAAAACTGATGCAACACAGCTGATATGCCAAACATCGAAAAGTATAACTCGTAAAGAAGCATTTTGCTCAACGTAAAGAATACATATGCACGCGCACATGTGCTGCAGATGAAATTTGCTGCGGCTTTCTGATGCGTCATACTAATGGTAGAAACTAAAATGTACATTATGTCATTTGCACGTGTTGTACTTGTGTGTTGCATATAGAGGATGCATCATTCTAACACTATACCATCTTGTTTCACTTGTTTCCTGTTCTACAAACACGCACATGAATTCAAAGTGCCTACGCTGAAGACAGCTTCAGAGTTTCTTAGTGCAAGGGATGATGAGTTACCGTAGCGCTCTGGTAATTTCACATAACTCTGTTCATTAAACTGACCTCTGAACCAATGGATGTGAGTTGATATGGATTTGATTTGAATGGCTGTTTGTGACCTATATACCAATGGATGTGAGTTGATATTGATTTGATTTGAATGGCTGTTTGTGACCTACGAACCGATGGTTGTGATTTGATACAGATTCAATTTGAATGGCTGTTTGTGACCTCTGAACCAATGGTTGTAAGTTGATACAATGTACAGACTCGACTTGAATGGCTGTGTTTAGAAACCATCAGATCTTACTGTCAAGGCACGTAATTCTTTGAACATGTCCACGGATGCCACATGGCAGATGTCCACCAATGAATGTTGTGTTTTTTTCCAAGACAGAGGTGCATACACCGTAGGCTGAAGCTGGATTGGTATGCTTCCAACAGCACATTGGTACACTGTGAATCAAGGGAATTAGACAAGCACAGCTTGCACAAATATAAGCCTGATTTGGCTGACCCCCTTTACCTGTTTATGTGGGAGATATTGACACAATTTCCTTTCTGCATTTCCGTCTTGATGACTTGGGCAAGTCTGCTGATGCCTCCTATTTGGTAGTCATCCTCCGAGTCACTCGCTGAAAAGATGCAGGGTAGGAACAAAGAATTTACAGCAGTGCACTTTCTGTACTTTCATGAGTTATCTTTTCTGTAAGGAAAGCTTAGTATATAAAGTATTCTCTATGTCCAACTTCTAAACTAAAAGTGTAGTCCAGAAAGTTCTGTTCGTTCTTTATCTTTTGAAGGTTTTATACAAACTTTTACTACCTTGCATGCAATCCAAAATGGAGGCCATTGTTTGTATTCGCCAGCCCTCTCTCCACTTCAGGACGTCTCGGACTCTATCAACATCCAGCAGAAAGAAGAAGGAAGCCACAAAATTGGCAGATCTCTTGTCTTGCTCATCCATTGTTGTGTTATCTGTTTCCATGGATACGTATCCTTGACTGCTGCTGTCTGTTACATTAAGTTGTGACGCGCCATGAGACGGTGTGCTGGATTGGCTAGTCCGATTCACACTTTGAACATTTGGGGGAAATTGGCCAATTAGGGACTGTGTTACAAAGGTTCTGGGGTAGCGGGTGTTCATGTTTGGGTCTAAGAGAGGGTGGGATTGGTCAGTCTCTGGGGATGAGGATTCCCCTTGGAATGAGCCACTCCTCTCAGTATCTGACTGGATGGTCGTATTGGTTGGAGTGGCATCGGACCCAAACACACCCATCTCAAAACAAAGTAAGGCAAGGTCAGACATGTCTTGCAGGACTTTCTCTGGAAGACCCAAGGGGTCGGACAACTGCCATCTGCTTCTACTGCGACTTGGCGCAGAGAAATTCAAGATGTCCCTTGTCAGTGCATCCGTTTCACCAACTTCCTTTTTGGGGTAGGGTAAATCCTGATTTGATGAGACTGAGCCGTCTTCACCAACAAATGGATTCTTTTCTTCATCTCCACAAGTTCCCGGCTGCCGGTCCATTGGCATTGCTCCCTTGATCTCTTCAAAGGATTCTGTCTGCAGATGGTGGTTCTTAGGTGCTAATGCTTTCTGGAGTACGTGTAACCATTTCTCCAGGACATCACAGCAATCATTAACGCTCAGGGACAACTTGGGATCTTGCAAGCTTTGCCTACAGAAGAAATAACAAGTGAAACTGACCACCGATTCTTGGTCCATAAACTTGATTTAACTTGTATCAACCCCGCAGTTACATTTATAAGCTTGATGATCCAACTACATGTACTCACTTGGCTTCGAAGGTTGCTTGGGCCAACTTCCTGACTGCATCGTCTACCAGCCCTTTACAATATTCCAACTTTTCCTTCTCTGTATTGACGACGAGGTCAAAAGATCTGGCCGGTGGGTCAAACGAGGTAGCTCTGGGCACAGCCGACTGCAATTGCCGGTGCTCCGAACTGGCAGACGGCATGAGAGTGTTGTGCAAGGAGTCCGTACGAGACCGACGGTGGGGTGCGGTGGGTTCCGGGCTGGGGTCTTCAGGGGTGGTCAGAGGTTGCCTCTCTGCTGGCGTCACCGTGGTAATCAGGTCTTTTTCTGGACTGCCAATCTCTGGCTCGCTGCTCATCTGTCTCAGAAACGTCTTGGTTTTTACCAACTTGGACGATAAACTGTCCCACCAGCAAATAGGGGAAAAACACATTTAATGTTGGACCTTGAAAAGTTTTCAAAATGTAATTAAGTTCTTTTAATAACCAAGGTGGTTTTTGTGAATGTAGATTGCTACTTCATTGAAAAAACAGTGTTCAAACTTTCGCTCCTCACTAAAACGTCGCAGCTACCGCTAGAAATAAGGCGTGTGCCTATGAAAGGTGGCGAGCAGCCACAACCTCTTTCCAAAAGCCTGGTTCATACTTCAGTATGAACTGGCCTTAAGGGGCGTATTCGAAACCCCATTCTCGTGTTAGAAGAACACGAGAACGGGGTTTCGAACGGGGAGAATCAACAAGCAAACATTGTTCGCGAACAAGATTCTCACACCTCACTTTCTGGGGAGTGGAGGGAGAACACCAAGAGCAAAGATGGCGGATACAGGCACACACCGTAACTTAATGTTGGTTTTTTTACATAAAATAGAAAACACTCCTCATAAGGAAAATAAAACCCAGAGCAAATACTCATGGCTATCGGAGAGGCTTTACCCTGACCACTTAATATGGATATTTGTTGATATTAATTTATGTGAGATGGTAAATGTCATGCCATCTTTTCATTTGGTGTCAAAATGGCGACTCCTATCTCGACCTTCAGTGCAACTGCACTCCTTTTGCACTTCAGCCTTTAGGATCAACAACCCAAGAAAGAACACTGTTCGTGAGTCCCATGAGAATGGGGTTTCGAATAGGCCCTAGGTGTTTGTACTCTTTACCACAGCCCACGGATTGGAACACGGTCACATTTCTGCCAATACCTCTCTTTCACTGCAGACAGAGATGGGCCCAGAAACTGGGCGGCGAGCTTGGGTCCTGTCATGGTAAACATCATGGACGACCCACCCCAGAACATATCTTCGCCGGGATCGAACAGTCCGGTCCCGACCATGGACTCGCTGCCGAAGCTGTTTAATTGTGGAGAATCTGCTCCCTGGTCCAGCTGGCTTGACCGCTTGGTGGGGGTGGGGGTTGGGGACAGTTGGGAGGCGGGCTGAGAGGAGAAACTCTGGGATCGTTTGATAGGGGTGCTCGTCACTGGGCTTCTGACGGGCAGTTTTGGCATGGCCTTGGGCGACACTGGCACCGCGGAGATGGAATCAATCTTTGGAGGGTGGTCAGGTTTGGAAGAAACCTGAGGTTTATCTACGGTGAATTTCAAAAAAAAATGGGTCAGCAAAACAGTGTGCATTTCCACGGACATGCTTGTTACATACAGGCCCACCAGTACAGAGCACAGAAGTGAATACCTCACATGCACAATTAGCGTGTAAAAGGCATTAGTGCAAGAACCAGCGCGTGAACCAACTCGCGCGCACCCAATTCATTTGCACTGTATTCTCTTGGCACAAAATGACATCAAACTATATGTGTGTGGCCTTGATATTCAAATGACCATAACAATAAGACCATGTCGGATTGAGTCAACCTCCATCTCACGATGCCCTAGTCCCTCTCACCAAAGTCAATGATGCGGCTCTTCTTTGAGCGCTTCTTGTCCTTGGCTGAGTAGAACTGCTTCCGGGCTCGACGTCCGTCCCTGTCTGGGCCAATCATCGGATCGACCATGGGCAGGGACATGGTCCGCCGGATGGCTGGACAATCTTCCTGAGCGCCTGCTGCCTCTTCTATCAAAGGCGCACTTTTGAGATCCGTATCTACAGTGGAAAACAGAAAAGTGATGGGCCGCACCAAAGAACAGTGAAAAAAAAAAACCTAACCAGGGCAATTCGCTTCTAATCTTTATCTTGTCCAATAACCATAACCCCCCAGGCCCTTTTTGCTAGAGACCCTCCTCAATCCTCCAATTTGGGGGTGGCTGCCTCAGTCCTTCAAAATCCTCTGGCAATTCCTGTCATTATGTTGAGGCAGTGCGAATGGCATTTTTGAGCAGTGCGGTTGATTCAAAAGAAATATCGGGCTGAATTTATGCCTGACTGCGCAAGAACAACACCAGGTCTAATCCACGGCCTTCACTCGTGGCATCCCTCATAATCAGCCATGCACTTTTGCCATTCACCTTCAATCCTCCAATATCCTCCAAAACAGCCTGAAAGATATTGGAGGATTGAGGAGGGTTAGGGATAATGAAGGTGCGTGAAGACCTGTAAACCAATACTTAATATTTATAATCGCAATTGCATTTTCACTGTTGAAAAAGCCTAATCTTTGGGGGAGCCTTTTTCACAGTTACTTAAAACTACATGCATATATCGGTACAAAAACATCCAAATTCTTAACTTCCAAAAGACAAAACCTAATGGTAAAATGCAAAACTTGTAACAAAAAAAAAGCGATCATCCAACCAATGTGAGTTCCTTATAGCAACTTGCCAACACTTGAACTTGCAACACTTGCAAGTTCGAGCAGCGATTTGTTATGCACAATGGATTGTGCCAGGTACATGTATATGTACATGTACGGTACCCTGGATACATTTTGTGCACAGGTTACCAGGGAAAATCGACCCACGGTTGACAAATGGTCACTGCTCGAGCTTACCCCCAAAATGCCAAAGTATTGACTGATTTTGTGTAATGAGAAATTGTGCAATATACCGGTATGAACGGAACACCTAGAATAATGTGATATTTTCAACATCGCTTGACATTGGGCACTTGACATGCTTGCAATTATTCCTTACCAACCCGTCTGCTTACCTTTGAGGTCACGGGCAGCTGCTATTGACTCAAGTGGCAAATGAGTTAGCCTTGGCCTCTGTTGTGGGGTTAGCAATGTTGGGTGTGTCTCACTCGGAACCATGTGGCCCATCTGAGAATGATCATGTTGTGTGATTTCTGAGCTAACATCTGTGGTAAATCTACCCGAATCGGTTAATTGCTGATCTTGTGCATGGCCCATTCCTGAATGGTCCGGCTGGGAAGGGGATGGCATACTATTTTGGGAATGACATTTCTCTGAAGATTGGGTGTCCGTCGCAACGGAATAACTGCACTGTGACGACGCGTTATTATGCATCTTCACAGCATCTCTGGCTGTGGTACCATGTGGACGAGAGACTGAAGTGTTCGAGGACGTGTCATCAGAACTAGCCTTGCACGGATTGGCTGAGTCCCCTGGGCTGCTAGGGTCACTGCCCGCTCTCTTCCTTTCGTCGGCTTTGGTTGATGGACTGTCCTGAAGGTTTTCCATCCGGGGGCCCGTTGACAGATTTGTCACAGGATTCTCGCTGGTGGAATTGAGGGACTCTGCTATGCTGGAGTCTAGTTCTCCGTCTTTGACTAATGCCTACAAGTGATAATGTAAAACAAAACACAAGAAGACAACAGTCATTTTTGAACACATGCATGATGAACATCACTCTACATTTGTGACTTACATGTAAGCCAAGTTGCTGAACCAACTGTTGCCAATATGCTGAGAGCGTCCAAACAGCGTTCAAACTGATGCTGCAGGCATTCATGGAAGTTTTCACTCCTCTCAATATCTACGAAGCCACAGTTATCACATGCACACAAATGGGTGTGAAGCGTTCTGATACTCAACAGTGACTTTAATACATACATGTACATGTAGTAGCATTAATGACACATGTACACTTGTTAACTTTAAATGTAAAATATACACGATACAATGGCCTACCGCTACATGTACATGTATCTTGCCCAATGTAAATTAATACACTGTTACAGTATTCTACCAACTGTCTTTTATCGCTGGGCACAGGTGAGAGGTATATCTACAGGTACTACAATTTTGAGCATGAACATCTGCCGTGTAAAACTAAAACCAAGAGGAAAACTAGACTAGACTTCTAGATGTAGGCAAAGGTAATCATATTTTTTTTAATGCTTTCACAGCAATACATGTATGTGCGCAGTCAATGTGGCACACGCTATGTACATGCAAATGTTTTACACGAGTGTTGTACAACTTGAGTCCATGACAAGTCCATCGTGGGTCATCCTGTCATATGAAGCAAACTACATGTATGGGACAGAAAGATGCCCCTCCCCGCCTTTGTGTTGGTCATTGTTACACTGGCACAATGTATCTCAGGAATTCTTTTCAGACATCTAAGGGGGATGTGTCAAGTGACATTAAGCTAGAGTGTGTATATAGGGATTGGACTTGTTGGGGAAACAAGGTATACATCCTGTCTTAAGTCAATTTACAACCTGTTTAAATGAACTGTGACAATTTTTCCTCTGTCATTATTCACCCTGTAACTTAAAATGACTAGTCTTGTGACGGGACTTGTGAAAGGACTTCTAACGGACCCAAATACAACACTGTTCAACACTTCCTCAGGTGCACAAATGCTCTCTGGATGAACATACAGAAGACAGTAAAACTTTGGAGGATTTTAAGGCGTGGTTACAGGAAACTTAATTTCCCAAAATTATCGTCTAAGAGTAACACTTGGCAATTAACACTGTGATAACAGAATGTGACTTTTTGTTATTACTGTGAGTTTATTCTAGATGTGAATGTGGAAGAGGTGGAAATTAGAATTACTGTTATGGTAATAATCCTGTCCCATTACTGTAGTGTAAATTTTTGAGTTGGCTCATGTGGGGCCATCACCGCTGATCCTAACCTTCCCGGGTATTTTGGTTAGAAACCCTGCCAGACGCAGAAGTTGGCATCATTTATCAAAGTGGCTTGCCAGGCAGTGCCACAAGATCCAACAGGTTGATCATCCCCAAGGCCAAACAGCCTGGGAGTCTACGGTTGCCACCACAGGATCCAACAGAGGCTTTGCATGGCAGCTATCTTGAAGGGCAGTTGGTTTGTTCCACAGGAAGCCTCCTTAGTGCATACCCTGTGGAACAAAAGCACTGCCCTATGGTACAAGATGGCAGCCATGTAAACCATCTACATGTATAGTGGCACTGTTCAGTGGGACTATCTGTACTGGTACATTACACAAAGCTGTCATTGACCAAACATGGGCAGTTTGATGGGCTGCTCTTGATTGCCTAGTGCAAACAAAGTGCACCAAGCTGTTAGCACCTGTTTCATGATGCTACCTCTGGCAGGGCTTAAATTGAACAATTAAAGTACCCAATGTACCGCACATCAATGTACATGAATCACATCAGTGGTTTGAATAATCTGTGCACAGGACCCATGTGCGATCAACTGCCCGTAAGTACAATGTACGGTACGTGGGCGTATGTGGCGTTCTTGTCAACGGTGTATACTGTACACTACTGTCATGACAACTTTGCTCCTTGAAGTTAGTACACGTGAATGGGTGTTTCAAGTAAAACTTTAGTTGGCGATTTGCGTGCACTCAACTAGTGGGACAGACAGAATGAAACCACATGCCATGCAAGGGGGAGGCAAAAATGATGGATACATACACGTGTATTGCCTTCAGAGGGTTTCTGTTGCAGAAATGAGCAAAACAGAAATATGGTAATGTAATTATCCGATACATATGTGTACATGTACATGAACATTTCAGGAAATGCCAATATAGATACATGTACCAGTATCCTAATATCTATGACAGGTGTCAGAATTTATATTGTACAATGCACACAGTGTTTCATATCCTAAATACATGTGTGCCATTCTTTGTTTTGGCACGGAGATTGGGAATAGCCTGGAGCATTCAGGTAAATAACCTCCAGAATTTTCCCGCTTGGTGAACAGTTTGGAAACTGGGGTTTCTGCGAAAAGTAGCATTCTCTGAAGCAAAGAACAAAAGACGCATGGTGTGACTTGTACTTTGCATGTTTGACACAAGTATCAGCCCTCTAAACCCCTGGAACCTCCAAAAGACTTGTATTTCCACAAATGCATGTTACTTGATGTCTTGCCTGGCGGCAAGAGTTATAAGCCCAGTAGAGTTCATGAATATAGCCACAGACATGAAAAGATGCTCCCTGATCGACACAGCATCCGAGTCAGTGTTATCACTCACCTCAGCAATCTCTTCCATGAGTGAGCTCTGTCGGCGCAGTCCCAACCTGCCTTGGCCGAAGCCCCAGTTGATGCCCGCCGGGCCGTTGCCCAGCTCCCCCGGTCCCTCCACCTCTTCGTCTTCCGCAAAATGGAACCCGCTGGCCACCTCCACCTCCTCGTCGAAATCTCCAAAGCTCTCTGCCACATCAGCAGTTCGTCCAAACCGCTCCGCTTGGGCTCCCTCGTTTGGAGGCATCGGCACGGCCTGGTTATCCTCGAAGTCGCACTGGGAAGAATGCCTCAGGCTTAATTTTCCTATTCCGTAATTCATCTCCGATGGTTCGTAGGTTGTGAGAGGTGTTGTTTCATAATTAGGGAACTCTGAGGACTCCCATGCAACATCCTGCTCATCATTGGTGTCAGATTTGCCGTTGTTCTTGGGATCGTAGCCCTCAATCCTACCATCCATCTGGGTCTCCCTATCAACGACGGAGACTGCCGGCTGGAGGTTCTGGTAGGAGAAATCCTCCACCGAATCCTCACTGGCAGCTCGGTTCCGCACCAGGTAGATGCCTGAGTCCAGCCGCGTCCCCTCAAATGACTCAAGGCTGCTGCGCCGGCTGCTGCCAGGCGTCGACAGCCCATCCTCCTCCATGATGCCGAGCAACTCCTCCATCTTCCCCATCAGTGCCAAGTCTGCTTGGCCGTCCAGCAGCTGGTAGTTGACTTCCCGAACCAGGCTGCTGGGCACGTAGCGGCGGGCTGCACCCTGCTTGATCCGCTCGGCGAAGTGGACCGCCACTTGGGCACTCTGCTCCCAAAGGCTGAGGGCGTAGAGCTTGGAGACGCAGCGCTCAGCGCTGAGAAGCATATAGCACCTGACTTGGGAATTGGGATGGAGACAGTACACTCTGGACTTGTAAACACATGCCCAGAGGATATCTACAAAACAAGTACAAAAACAAGAACTAAACAGTTGTTCAGAAACTGCATATTTTCCAAGGTACATTATTTAAGGGACGGCGACCATTTAGACCTGGTTTGAAAAGGGCCCCCGGTAGCCCACCCGGTATAATGCCTGCCTGGTATTCAGGCTACTCCAGGCCGGTATCAGGCCTGTCTGCACATTGGCATTTCAAAGTCCATGATGAAAGGCTTCCCCCACCATGCTTCCACAGATGAATAGGGGTCTAAGCGGATTAGTGTAAACATTGTATAGAGCTGAAGGATTAAAAACCACAAGCAGGTTCCTTCTGGGATAGATTACATGTACCAGTACTTGCAAACAATAGACCCCAGGATGGAGAAGTTCGAGATCAACAACCAGTCCAGCATCCCAGGCCGGTAGCCAGGTCGGTATGAAAGAGGTTTTTGCAACAGGGCGAGCTTACGGGGGGGGGGCCTTTTCAAACCTGTGTCTAAATAGTCACCGGCCCTAAATGCACAGAGGAAATTCAGGTTCCACAGAACTTGGATAACTAGGGATTCACTAGTACATGTATTTAACATATTTAGGCATTCAAGTTCACTGCTCCTGGAAATAACTTTATTCACTCAAAGGACTGTTCTTAATTTTTATTTTCCAAATTGTTTTAAGTGCAACTTATTCCTCTGTACATGAGCGTCTGTCGTGTCTGATGTTTACAGGTCATGTTTAGGAGTCAGTCTCCAAAAGACAGCAATTTCATCATAAGTTAAATGCAAACTTGTGGACCCTAAAAAAGAATTTCTTAAGTAGTTCCTGTATCATTTGAAAAAAATTCATCTTTAGCTGTGAGAAGAGAGGAAAATGAGAAAATATCGGATTATGAACAAACCTTTAAAATCCATGGACCACAATATGACCTTGATGTGGGTAGGGTCGAACACGTAGATGGCCTCAGCATTCCATGTCAGTAGTAGGTTATGTCTGGATATACATGTAAGTGCAAAAACCCCAATCAAGATATGGGCCAAGATCGTGATTACTGAGTAGGAGAACTGTGCATTATCGTTGAGCAAATGCGAATCTTCCATGCTGATTGGACAGCACATAGCAACAGCAGTGTGACTGATAGGCTGGAGACTTGACATGTCTCTGTGTGTGCAAAATGAGTTGGCAAGAACAAATATCTTACTGCATCAGTGGACGTGAGGTTTAGAACATAACAGCAAATCAAATTTTTATGAACGGTACATTTCGGTCAGGCTTTTTGCTCCAAATGCTCCAGAGGTTATTAAAGAAAAGCACGCTGTGCCGTGGATATACCCACAATCCTTTGTGGGCTGCTAGAAGAGGCTTTGTGATTTGCCAGAATGTACTAAAGGAGTGAAGTCCAATAATGGCCCGTCCAACTATGGTAATAATCCTGGACCGCTGTGTATTGATTCGTCAATTTTTCAGAGTACAGATGTCCACCCATTTGCATACTGTACATGTAGACGGTTAGAAATTGTGGGACCTACATGTACATGTACCTCAGAGGACCATTAAGACAAGTGTGCTGGCCACTCTCAGGCTATTTATTGTCTAAATTTTACGGCTGCTGCTGCTTCACAGACATGTCAATTAATACTAGCCACAGCAAGATCATTTGGACAAGGCCTGAGGCTTAGCTTCAGCACATATGATTGTACATGTAGGCTTGGAAATGAATATTCATGTGTGTTAAGCTGCTTCCCACCACTCAACATCCAGTATGCTCTTAAATGAGCTAATTACGTTCACGAAAAGGCATGTAATCTTGCTTTTATCATCGTGGGATTCGGTAACTTACCCATGACCAAATGTCAGGAGTTGGGAAAAGTTGAGAGATTGAGGCTTCTGAATGTGATCTGCGCTGGGAAAAACAGGAGTGCGTCTGGAGAAGGGAAAAATCAAAGGCCATTTCAACTTGAGCTTTGGATCCAACTCAACTACCATGTAACCATGGTAATCACAAATGAACAACAAAAGAGGGCTCACTAGCTAATGGGCTACAGCCTCTCACAATTTTTATCAGGGCTGTAGTAGAGCCAATCACAATTCCCTGCGAGTCCATCATATGTCCATCATAGGCCATCCAGCTCATCTGAAGGCAACTCGCAAGCTTTTAACGTGTAAATTCCAAAAAGTATTCCATTTTAATGTGCTAATTATTTTCCTTAAGATACCCCAGACTTCAGCCCTGATTTCCAAGTTCTTTAAAATGACCTTGACACCAACTAATGACTGACAACAGAAAATGATGGCAACACTGTTTGACATCTAGTTCAATAAGTGCATGAAATTATTTGATTCGTCCTAAAACAAAAAGGTATTTAATTGTTTAATTCAAACATCGTCAAAATTTACCCTGGTCCCACCACAGGTAGTGACGGCACAGCCAGCAGATGTTTGAACTGGTGAGTGGCAAGAACTTGACCTACAATGTTGCCCTGAAAAAAAAAAAAAACTAGCTGCAACACTGATGTCAAACAATTCGTACAAAACCCCTAATTTTATCAAAGATGCTAACTTTGCAATAAAAAAAAACACAGGTTATACACTACAAACTCTTCAGCACACATTCATGAGTAACGGTTTGTACATCAATGTAAACGTAATCGGTGGATCTTATTTGACTGACGACAGTTGGGGAAAAAAAGATTTACATTTATTTCAGTTTAGCTAACAAAAAGTTAGCGTTTATGCAGTCTTATCCACTGCAGAGTTTCAGATAAATATCGGCGAACAGGCCCCTGTGAGCCTAACTGGTCCACGCCAAATACAAAGCAAACTCATTACCTCCCAAATTCTGCTGCTGGGGCGAGCCGAGTACACCAGCGGGAATTCCTTGGTCGCCTTCTGCAGAAAGCATGCCCCAAACTGCCCATCCCTGAAACCAAAAATTTCTTGGCATTTAGGTTCAAAGATGAAGGTTTTCCTCTACATGCTCTAGAAAGGTGAATTTCACCAGGGCACCCGAGATCCGATTCAGGATGGCCAGAATTGGGAGCCACATGGCTTCTGCGTGGTTGCCGCATTCGTGGGCAGGTCATATGCACAGGATCAATCCACGGATGGACTCGGCGTTGTAATTGGAACAGTTTCATCAAGTTTCTGGGAGTGAGCGCCATTCGTATGCGTGTGTTGCCATGGCAAAAAAAATGGCACCTCCTAAGATTACTGGGTATCGGTAGTAATTGTGGTGGCCAATGTGGGTCTAAAAACTCAACTGCCTCTTAGGGTCATCACATGATCACACAAGACCATCACACGACTCCACAACACCCTCACAAGATTACACAACACCATCACAAGACTCCATAAGACCATCACAACACTCTAAAACACCATCACGAGACTCCATAAGACCACCACAACACTCTACAACACCATCACAAGACTCCATAAGACCACCACAACACTCTACAACACCATCACAAGACTCCATAAGACCATCACAACACTCTACAACACAATCACAAGACTCTACTGGACCATCACAAGACGCCACAACACCATCACAAGATTCCACAACACCACTGCAAGACTCTACAAGACTATCACGACACTCCACAAGACCATTACACGACCACTGAAAGCCCTCCACTCTGAAGTCAATTCACGAGCTTTTTCAGACGAACTGTAAGAAAAGCATTCTTGGGTCACTGTCAACCCTACTATTTGTGACTGGTCTCGGGTCTGGTCTCACAAATGGTATTGTGTCTGGTCTCGTCACGGTCTCGACTACAACAAAGTTAATGTGGTATAGCTGCAGTCAAACCTTTGTTTTTGTACCTGAGCTTAGTTCCCACTACATAGGCTTGTTTCCTGTAAGTGATTAATAAATCAAAAGAAATTTTGTTAAATTGTGTCTTGCAAAATCTTCTAATTGTATCAACAAGAGGGAGGCTGGCTTCAGGGAAGTTAACGACACGCATGGCAATAGGCTCAGCCCTTGACTTTCTATCAGTTGAAGCCAAGTGGTGCATATCAATGTGAAATAAAAAAATCATTAATCAAAATGATTCAATGTTAATCAAAATACATGTAAATACTTATAAATAAACAGGTTCTTTGTAAAGAGGTTCTGCTCAGTTGCAGCAAGCTTTTCCCTATGATCTGCATACAGGTGCATTTTCATTAAAACAATGCTTAAATGTATATTGAAAATGAAAACTAGTCACGCCATCATTCCACAACGAGGCATCGTTTTTTTCAACTTTGCCTCCTTTACTTACTTTTTTGTGTCGCAAATGAAGCACTTGGTTGCTGTGGAGGTGAGCAATTTGTCATCGCAGTAGTCAAGCTGAACAATGGCCGAGTCCGCGTCCATTACCAACTCCGTGGGTAACTTGAAGAGGCCGGCCATCTACGAGCACAAAAAAGATTCGCAAAAGAACAAAATACTCCTTTGCAGCTCTGAACTCTGTAACAATCCAGCTCCACCCCGACTAGCATACTTCACCCTTGGTATTCTCCAGTCAAACAAACGCGTACATGTGCAACACAAAAGCTGCTGCATGTACCCGGTGATGTACATGACGTACACAGCACCATCTTGGACTTCACGCACGAGACCAACGAATCCACGCACGTTTGCCCGTTTGCGTACCTTTCGATGGTAGACATTCAGGAAGGTGACACGGCCGTGGCTGTCACCTGAGAAGAGCCGCTCGCTGGCCGTGTCCCATATCATGGCCGTCACGACGCCATTGCGGTGTGCCGATGACACAGCAAGACGCTCCGACTTGGTCCGTCTTTCAATGTTCAGCTCCCACGTGATGACTACGCCTTGGCTAGATATGCAATAAACAGCCAGATATTAATAATTGTTGTCGCAATGAAAACAATTAGTTCTAAAAGCCTTCTTTAAAAATAAACATTAGCTCTTTCATTTTATGGTTTGAAAATGATGCAACTTGGCACTTCCTTAAATATTTATGTACGTAGTGCTGTTCTCTGCTGGAAAACACATACCGGTGAGTAAAAAAAATCTGGGCAAGGTATTAACACATGAATTAAGTTCTTGACATTATTTTCATCAATTGTGGCAAAACAGCTAAGAAAATGTGAAGAAACCTCTCAAAAGATGCAATTTCCATGTGCATGTACCTTGTTGCCAGGCCAACCAAGTTATCATCAGGTGCAAACGTAACCCTCGTAAGGGCCCCTTCCTGGAATGTTGAGGAAAAAGGAAAAACAAAGCATAAGCGTAACTACAATTGTCCCAAAACATCTAACAAAGTTCACAATGTGTATTGTACGTACAGCACAAGCACCGCAGTGCGTCAGTGAAGAGCAAATTAAAGGTGGATTTGGATTTGAAATTAATTCTACAGAATTGTTTTATATGTTTGTGGGTCATTCTATACTAAATTTGGGAATATGTCGCACTTAAGGACCCTTAAATGTGACATTTTTGGCATCCGCTACACCTGACTTCTGAACTGTGCATTCGAAATGGATACATCAAAAAGTGATTTCAAACTGTTTTCATCCGTTTGCCAGGAACTGTTTTTTGCATTACTTAATCATTCTTGGAAAATAAAGAATGTGTTCTACACTTACAAATCATAACAAAATCGTAAAACTTCCCACTAGCTCACGGGTGTCCCAAGGCGAGGCAAGGGGGACATTTGTCTCCCAACCCGGAAACAAAAATGAAGAACAAACAAGAAAAATCAAGAGGAAAAAAAATAAATGAAAAAAAACAGAAGGGGATGAAAATCCTCCCTTTGCTTAAAAAAAACTTCCAAACTGACTTTCTTCCAATGTTAATGGTCTATCAGTTTGCTTTTGAGTACTTTCTACACCCCCCTTGGAAATTGTCCCCCCCTTGGAAAAAACATGTTTGCCTTCTCCCCCCTGGAAATTAATTCCGGTCATGCCCATGCAGAAGCCTGTCTTGTTGCTGGGGGTAAGGGTTCACTTCAACTCTGTGCAGTTTCTTCGGTGAGATTACCGGCAGTGTTGTGTTCGAGTCCATCACGAGTCCTTTCACAAGTCCCTTCACAAGGCCAGTCACAAATCCAGGGCTTCACAAGGCCAGTCATAAGTAACAGCTAATTTAAATGTAAATAGCTTGTGAACTGGGCCAATTTCATAGCCCTGCTTAAGCAAAAAAATTGTTTAAACGTGAAAAAACCTTTCTTGACAAATCAGGTTACCAGCCAAAACTTCTTGTGATGTATATTGCTTTGGAATGGTATTTACCTGTCTTTTGGTTAGCAGGACAATCACATAGAGTTTGAGCTGGTAACCTTTATTAAGCAAGGTTTTTTCGTGCTTAAGCAAATTCTGTGCTTAAGCAGCTCTGTGAAATTGGCCCCTGGCTTAAGACTGAATGACTTGTGATAGGCTTACAGAGACTTGTGATGGACTCAAATACAACACTGGTTACCAGGTTGTCATGGATTCAGTGTATTTCTTGTGACCATTTGTCTTGCATTACCTGAGCTACTTTGGTTACGCACCAAGTTTCTATCTGCCTGGGAATTCATCTAACAAAAGCAAAACCAGAACAGTCCAGGATAATCAACGTCAATGAACTTCCTGCAATTGGATTCTTGATGTGCTCCAAACACACCGATAACCCTGGGAATTTTGGGCTCCCTTGACTTTTTGCTCGGTAACATCCTACCCAGTACATGTACATCCGCCTGGGTAATATAACACCGTTTGTAGGAAAACCAATGGAGCATTCTTGGTGTTAGTACAGTACATGTATGAAGCATGTACATGTACTTTGAGACCAAAGCCTCAGTTTTAGCCAATTTTGGGCAAGTGAGTACCTGTACATGTACATGTAAGTGATAACATGCTGATAAAAGACAGAGCCGTAGCCCTGAATGTCCATTTCAGCGGCTGAGGCGAACATCATCCCAAGTCAATACTGTTAATCTGATGCAAACTCTGTGCTGGGATCTAGGGAAGATTTGGCTCAGGCCAATGAGGGGTAATAGACCTTACTCACACGATGGCCATTTTTTATCTTATTCCCCGAATCTGTTTCACATATTGCAAACTGTCAATTAGAATGGCTCCAGACTGTTCATCATTTCCATGATGAGTTCCAAGCCTCCTTTTCAACAATTTTCAGAATCTAAAGAAGGTACAAATCCATGTGATTAATCATGAACTGAAATTTTTCATCAGCATAGACAGGTGCAAAATTGTCATGAGCTTTCATTTTATTACTTTCATAAATTTGTAGACTCAATATTCAGAAAGAAAGATTAACCTCGCTTTCAAATTCAATATGGCCAGCCCTGTGAAAAAAAGTCTTTCCAATGACTCTGTGAACAACTACTGTACTGTAGAAGAATGTTTAAAAGAGTAGTCACATCAAACACCGGTAGAATTTAACAATTCATTCCATTTTTCAGGCAAAAAAAAGCAAACACATGTATGGGTATAGGTGAGATACGCATATTAATGCTGAATCTCTCTACCATGTTTAAACCAGCAAGATTTCAAGAAACTGAAATTGTAAACTGCAGGTTGGGGTTTTATGTTGGTGAAGAGAGTGCACTTTATTTTCAGAACTTTTTACATGTTTAATTAAGGTACATGTAGCATCGCAGATACTCAATGTACATGTACACACTGTACATGTGCGTACACGTACATGAACACAGTTTGATACATGTACCGGGTAGATTCAATCTTTGAAAGTTACTACTTGAGTATACAAGTACATGTACAAGTACAGTCGTTCTATTTGCTGATTTTCTTTTAAACAACTTGCTTTAAAGCTGGTCACTGATGTCAGGCACGCTGTTAATGTCTTCTTTGTATGAATGAGCCAATTCGGTGTTTTACAAAGTCACGGTCTTTCGGGAGCAAAGTGCGTGTGTAAGTCAGCGTATGTCTACGCTGATATCACAGACTATCAAGCACGCATGTACACTGTTCCCGAATAGCCTCGTACTGAGCATGCGCTGTTGGAATACCGAACTGGCTCATTAATTATAAAAATTACTACTTAGTAATAAAACATAGCATACGGTGCTGTCGCTGATACATGTCAGAGGACTTGACCTCATTGTTCTCTGAAGCCATAAAATACAATAGATAAGACAATGTACTATACAGTACTGTGAAACTATGAATGAATGACTTCATTGTTCTCTGTACGAGTAACAATGGAGGGCGCCCTAGCCAGAATTAGTAATTTGTAGCGCTAGGTCCTTCAGGCTCAGAGTACTATGTACAGTAGTATTTGACAGTACTGAGTCATGTAAGCCAAATGATGTGAAGGACTGTTAGGTTAAAATAAAAAAAAGCAAACAAAGTGCTGGTTGGTTTTTTAACTGTACACGTACCGTGCATCATTTAAACAAATAGGGAATGGACAAAGATACACATGAATATCCCAATGACATGGGTCATTCTATAAATTTGGGGTCCACTTTCCCATCTCTGTTACGTTTGGCATGTGATTTTCTTTTAGTGTTTAGAACCCATTCTTTAATTTCAAAAACTAAATAAGTACTGCAAATTACCTGCCAAACAAATACAAATACATGTAGTTTGAAATCATTTTCAGTGATACATGTATATCCTTTGTCAAACATGTCAGATGGTATACATGTACATGTCAGAGGTAACAGGGACGGAAAAATGTCACACTCTGGACCTCAAATTTATAGAACATGTAGAATGACCCACATTTTTTCTCAGAAATTTTGGACTCATCTACATGTAGTATTGATTCCGAAGGGAAAATGATTGCAAGACATAAATGTCACGAAACACAGCAAAAAGGGGCCAGTAAGCTGCACATTGTACCATCACATCAGCAGGATTTCCTTGATAAGTCTGACTTTTTTGTCATGCCTTGAGGCTTCTGTGATATTCTCTGTGTGTATGGATGCAGAAGCTGTAACTGGCTTGAGACTGGAGAGCGATTTCTGTTTTAAAATTCAACTCAAGCATCATTTTGGTAAACCAGTTGGTCAATCTGGCCTGTCATTTTTATTTTTTTTTACTGCGAACGGCAACAAAAACCTTGTAAGAAAATTCATTCTAGTAAAATGACCTACTGTACCACTCAGACTAGAGCTTGCATGCTTATTCACAAACTTGTGTAAAATGTCTGTGGGTGTTGAAACATTTCCAGAAATTTACAACCACAGACTCAACCCTGTCAACACAGCTAACCTGCATGGCCCCCTTTACTGTGTCTGTGTTTAATTCTGCTTATCTCTTTATAACAGCATAATATCAGACGGCCTAGTTGCTGTTTCAAGTCATGTTTCTATTGGGAGAGCTGGACTCTGGCCTCCACACATTGCACAAAGATAAAGACAATACAGACACTAAGGAGATCAGGAAAAATCAGACTGTACACTACAAGTACCTGTACATTGGGTTTTCTGCTTGAAAAGGTCAGGAGTTACTTCAATAAGCCTACTAATCAGTGTGTTTTTAACACAATGGTTACATGTACCATTTGCCACTGTGGTTTCTCACGAATTTAACAGTAAAGAGCAATGGGCTCCAATGCATGTGTACGGTACATCAGAAGAGATTTAACAAATAGGGTTGTAGTTCCAAACTTCTCTGCATCATGCTTAGTCATGATCAAGAATGTTAACTAATTAACTTTGTTTGTTAGTGTGTTGGGTTGTTTGTTTGTTGGTTTGTTTTTTTCTGTATTGCAATGAATGATTGTGCAGGGAATTGGACTAAAATTTGCCACATTCTGCAAGTACCATTTCTTCAGTCCATTATGACAGTTTCTGGCACTGATTTCACATTTGTCAATTACATTAGACGGTGTTTTGGGGATTCATATATATGGAAAGACGATTTATGGCACCAATCAATAAATAATCCTATTGAATAAAATAAAAACGATAAACAAGTTGTGATTCATCCGTTTCCACATTAATTAAAACTTAAAACTGTGCTTAAGATAATGCTTAAAATCTCCAACTGAATACAAATGCACTTGTCCCCACAATGACCATGAAGAGAAGGCACATACATGTAGGGGGAATTCCAGAAATTAGGGGTTCATGTTCTTTTTGTGTCCCTGTCACATCTGATATATGATTTTGTAAGTTCAGAACACATTTTCTAATTTCCAAGAGTGATGAATTAATGCAAAGTACCTGCCAAACAAAGAGTAATAGTTTGAAATCAATTCCAGTGATATTTCCATGTCAAATAACAGAGGTCAGATGTAAACGGGACGCAAACAGGTCACACTTTTGGACCCCTAATTTCTGGAATTGCAAACCAAAAAACAAAGAATCTGTGTTTAACTGCTCCTTCGTGTTAACGGTGACTTTCCCAAGCTGTTTTTGCTAAGCATGCCTTCATTTCCAAAATGAGATTTTTCTTTTCAAGTTTCTTTCAGTTTCACAAATTTTGCATACACTGTCATTGTTGTTCGTCACAACTGAAAAGGGAAAGTCAAATCACTCAAGCTTTGTTTTTTAACGTACATGTATAGTATTTCAGTGACACCATCCAAATTTGTCTTTAAACATGTTAAAAGGATGACCTAGTTGAGGTTTTGTTTCTTTTTTGTTCACACAATGCAGACTTTACTTCCGGATTTCAAGTCAATTTCAATGCCCTGGACTTTTTTTTTTTTACCAAGCTGGAGCATGCGAATTTCTCTACTCCACAGACAGAAAAATGGTTGGTCCTATACAACATGGCACATTCTCAACGTGAAATGTGGCTCACCGTGTTGGAAAAAACCTGAAGGTACTTGAATGAGCTGCGATGGAAGATGTAAAGACTCCCCGACGAAGCGCCCAGACCGATGTAATTCTTGGACACAGCTATGCAAGTGTACTGTGCAGAAAAAAAGGATTTACAAAATTTTAACCTGTTAACTGACAGTCTGCAACAATGTCTTTGCTGCCTTTTTTTCGGGGGGGGGGGACATTTTAGATACCGGCAGTTTAGTGAGCAAAGTGTTGACATCAGCATCGAGTCGAACATCAACAATGGTTCAGCCGTTCGGTCGGTTCACTTGTTAAACCACTGTCACTTTCGGTGTGTCCTGGTGACGTTGCATGATGTCGTCAAGCCATCGTTCAAGGTTAAGTACACTTTGAACCTGAATGTACTTTGATTTCGAGGAAATGGCCCATGGCCCCTAAAACTGCCTCTGGATTGCGGAAAATGATCTGCGGCTTGACGGCAAACACTCCTCACCTTGATTCGGCCGGACGCTTTGATAGGCGCGGTCAAGCTTTCGGCTGACGTCAGCTCGGCCAGAATGTGGAACCCATCCGGATGGGCCATGGTGCCACTTGCACCGGGCAAATGCTCAGTCATGTCAGCACAGCTTCATCTGTCAACGGGGAATGACAAATACAAGGGCATCAATTATCACAATAAGACACCTACCGGTACAAGAACATTAGTTCATTTCACTCGCTCTTGGTTTTAAACTTTTCAAAGCCTATATACATACACTTTCAGACTTTACACTCAAATTATTTTCACAGCAACAAGCAGGGCAGTCTTCTGACTTGTCAGAAGATTTCTTTCCTTTTTTTACCTTGAGGGAGGTTTGGTCGGTTGGGGGAAAAAGGGAGGTTAAAAAAATGATTTGCTTGTTCCAAGATGTTCTAAAGCTCAGATCTTTGTTTCTCGGTGAGAAATTTCAGGCAGGGTTGGTGGCAATAAGAAAGGGTTTTTTTCCTTGTTTGGAGCCAAAAATAAGGGGTCGGTCGGAACTGAGATCAATCTAGAATTGATTGCAGACACTGATAATCCATTATACTGATCGACTGATTGGGTTGAAGCATACATGTATGTACTGTACATGTAAGCGAACTCAAATTACACGCATGAGCAGAGTGTGTACGGTAGGCCTGATGAGTCGGTCCATCTGACGACAGCATTACTTCCATGGGTACAGCATACAGTGTACATGTATTTACACGATGGGCCCGATCGGTCTGCATGATCGCCCAATCGTGATGTGCTTTTGGTCAACACTGTGCTGTAGACCTACATGTAGTAACTAAATTTCTACTTCCAGAAAAGTAAGGTAAGGTACCGTAAAGCACCAGCTTTAATTGACCCAATTTGCTTCTATTCATAGCGCAGCTTTCATCAAGAGGGTGACAGGAAACAAGGAAAAGACAGGAGCTGTGTTGCAATTGAGGGAGCATGTACATGTACATGCTGCTGATTTTCTGTGGTGTGGATGGGCAAAATACAACTTTCATTATTGCAATAAGGTGAATAAACCTCCCAAGCAGACATCTAACCTCACCAAAAAGGGATGTATGAAATTTGGTTGCTCAAATACTGAAGCTGTGACGGCAGAGTAAGTTGGCACAATCGAAACAGCCAAAACTGTGTTGAAGCACATTTGTACATTGCTATCTAAAAGGTTTGTATAAACATTACAGTTCTGGAACGGGAACATGGAAGTACCTCAAACTAAAAACAGCCAGGTCCTGAACTTTCACCATTTACTGTGAAAACCAACCAGACTTTCACAGTAAGTGGTGAAATTAAGGACCTTGCAACTGCAAATTCACAAGCCACGGAGGTTAGATTTTTTGGCTTTGGGCCTAGACCTACATGTACATGTACCCCCATGATGTAGGCCTACATGTACTTCCATTTTCGGAAACAATCTAGGGCCTAGGCCTAGTCTTTCACAAATACTGTTGAGGATCGTCATGATCGTGCAGTAAGATGGACTGATCATGCAAAGATCAACCGATTACGCCATACTGGGCGCAATCGGCTGATCTTTGCACGATCCCTGATGACCAGTCAAGAAAACAAGTTGTGCGTACCACCAGTCAAGTCAACAACACATACATAACCTACACTGTACAGGTACAACATGTACCGTACAAAGCAGCTGGGCTGCACTCTTTCGAATTTTGTTCTGGAGCGGTCATGATCCAGTACAAAATTCGAAAAGAGATATACTACCGCTCCGCTCAGTACACAGAATACACAGCCTAGGCCAACATGTTTTGCGTACATGTAGATGCGTTTGGGGCTGAGCCACATGATGGCCTACCGTACGTGTACGTACGCCCACCTCCATTTGTTTAGTTTAGGCCTGTACTCGAAGTTCACCAATCACGCCGATCACTGTGCGACTGTCCCTGAATTAGCCAACTCTCCTAAAACATGTCAAAACATATTCAGCTGACTGAAAACTAAGAACAAACCTTGCGAAAAAGATGATTTTTCGTCAACATCTTTCGACGGCTCACGAGGAGTTCGGGTGTTGACTGGTTGAGTGTACCGTACTAACTGATAATCACATGATGTACCGAAGCACGCCCTCTTTTGACGGCACACCGCCAATCAAATTAATTATCGGGCTGAAGCCGCCAGCGTACGATTAAGCCTAGGCACGTACCACTTTTACTAACCGTCATTTCAGGCGCAGAGAACTGACGGTTAGTTTTGAAAGGAACGATGGAGGGTTTGCATGGCTGCCATCTTGCAGGCCCAGTTGTTCATTTGTTCTACAGGGTATCACAAAGGAGGATTCCCAGTGGAACTAAAGGAAATGCCCTTCAAAATGACTACCACTCCACACAAAGCCTATATTGCCCTTGCTTCATGTATTCAACCGCATAAATAATTATTGCTTGTGCCAATGTTTATTTGCGTGCATTCTGTCATTTATGTATATAACGTCTGGGCTGGCCAGTTAACGGTTGGGTTTTCTTCCCCGAAAAAAAGCAGCTGGGGTGGGTTTTTTGCGCATATTCTTCAACTTTTATTTCCGGTGCCCATAAAATGTATAGGGAAGAACAACTCTTGAGTTTAGGCATCAGGATTTTCATTCTCCCCCCCCCCCCCGAGTTTTTACGTTCAGCCGTTTTTCAAATGCTCTAGTAAAAGTTGTGGCGCGTGTCCAGACGTTCCCACCGGCGAGGACCTCCCTACCAGACTCAATGAATGCAAAGCCCATTGCAAAAAAGGAGAATACGACAAGTCTGCCATCATCAAGCAGTCCCACATCGAAGATCACAAGATCGACTGGAGCAAAGCCGAACTCCTCACCAGCATCAAGCACTGGTACCCACGCCGCATCAGAGAAGTATCGAAATCACTGAGAACAACATACTCACACTTGTAAGACATCGGTTCCCACATCAGCGACATCTGGCGTCCCATCCTCACATCCAAGTCCAATGCGTCCCCTATACCTACAGGACGTTTCCAGGCTATTGGTCCCCTACACCCTTGGCTACCTTCCCCCACACTCCCCTCCCCCCCAAGCCACCAGTTGCATCCTGAGTTAACATCCTCTCCACACTTCACTGCCCTCATCACTGGACCCTCTGCAGTCTCCTGACGATGCCATGGGACAGAGCATACTGTCCGAAACGTTGAGTGCCACCGTTTTTTTTTTCATACTCAAAAAAGAGATATATCAATGGTGCTACCGCAAACCTACCTAGTTTTTATCTCTTTTGTAAGTGTGGTTTGGCTCCCTAGCAAATCGCCCCCCCCCCCAAAAAAAATGGAGGTCTTTAATGGCCTTTGATCTATAGTGCATTGTGTGGGCTCCTCAAGTTATTCCTAAAACTCCGCGTGTAGGATTGTCTTCTGCGCTTTTGACCCAACCAAAAACAACGCGTTAATACGTCAAACACAAACATGAAAAAAAGGAATTCTTAAAGAAGTGTACGCTTACGCGTCCTCCGTGGAACAAATAAGGACAATTTGTGTGTGTGTTTACACGTCATCCAGCGACAACTGGTTTTAAACGCGGAAAAAATAAACTGCCACGCCTCAATTCAAGGTATTGGTTGTTGAAGACTAAATTGTTGCAGCGCAGGTGTTTGCTTGATATTGCAACGACATAATAGGTAACAGCTTTGATTGCTGAAATCGACAGGGAAAAACAAAAATACTTCTCAAAATCATTCGACTGCGAAGGGATTCAAACCTGAATCTCCCGATCCAAAGCTTGATTTTCATTTGAGAATGCACTGAGGGTAACGTCCGTCTTAACACACAGGCTCTCGGTTGACTTCGTTGTACGGTTGAAAACAGTACAATGAATTCCGTCGCTTGGGTAATGAGCTAATTATTAGAAGTTAGGATATCAAGAAAGATACATCAGCTTTTCCTGCTACTGTACCGCGACTTTGACATGAGACTTGCATGGAAAAGGGTCCCATGATGTAACGGTTAGCTTTCAAGACTCTGATTTTTTTCTTTTTCAGTTCCATTTGGAATCCATGATTATTATTTTATTCCCATTTGGAACATTTGATGATGGAAATTTCATGGAAAACTAATGAAACGAGACAGACACGTTTCAATTCAGTTTCTCTTGCCAAACTTATCAAATAGACTATCATAGAGCCGACCGACACCTCGATTTAATTTCATTGTTTCTTTTTTAACAAAGGGAACATTCGCAATCACTGGGTGGATATACAACTCTTTCTCATTCAGTATTTAGTGACCGGAACAAGCATAATGTCACAAATCCATCAATTTGTAAGGACGTAAACCAGGGTCCCATGGTGTAATGGTTAGCACTCGAGACTCTGAATCTCGCGATCCGAGTTCAAATCTCGGTGGGACCTGGCTTGCATTTTTATTTTCTTTTTTGACCAACTGATAATGACTTTTTCTTTTGAGGTAAAACGTTTACAATAATTTGCACTGTAGTCTGGGTATGTTATTTTACGCGCAATATGTATGTAGTTTACAGTATAAGAGGTTTGCGGAGCTGCCATCTTGCAGGCCAGTGCTTTTGCTCCACAGGGAATGCACAAAGGAGGGTTTCTCTCTGGAACAAAAGAAATGCCCTACAAAATGGCTACCACGCAAATCTTCTGCTGCCCTTGCTTCATCTATTCCACTATATTTATTACCTGTCGTGAATGTTTATTTGTTTTTTAACTTATTGTATTATCCACACGGCACAACAGTGGCAACTTTGATGGCTGATATCAAGAGGGGGGCAAAAAAAATCTTGAAACCATCGACCACGAAGGGATTCGAACCCTCACTCTTCCGATCCGAAGTCGGACGCCTTATCCATTAGGCCACGCGGTCCTACGGACGGAGTTGCCTCCATCTCTGGTATAGTGGTCCAAGTTCAGACCTCGATGCGACCTGCTTTCCTGTTTTGAACACCCTAGAGTTAAAATGAATGAATTGTTGTGTTTGACAAAAAAAGCTTTCTAAAATGAACAGACTTCAAATACAGTGCGTTTAATTTCATGAATATTATTGTAATTTTTTATTTGTGTTGTGCACTCTAAGCACACGACAGTTTTGAACGATGGAATAGTACGTGTGAAATGTATTAAATCTGAGGGGCGGACGCATTCTGACAGCTACTTGCAATAGAGGCCTTGCGTGGTAGCCATTTTGCAGGGTAGTTCTCTTATTCCACAGAGAAACCTCCTAGTTCTTTGTGCGTACATTGTGAAACAAAAGCACTGGCGCGTATTGAAGATGGCAGCCATGCAAACCCTCATTTGACTGGTCGATGACGGCTCCTCGATCAAGAACACTGCTGTCCATGTCAAAAGATCTTTCACTTCTAACAGCCAATGCGTATCAATCTATTTTATATACATAGAGAAAGCAGTGGTAACCAGTAATCGCCACAATGGCTTCTCCTTATTAGGGCCTATGGGGGCTGCTTTCAATATGTTCCTGGATTTGTGAGTTACCACTTTAAAAAAGTAAGACGACCACGAAAGTCGTCATACTTACCCTCAATCCTCCGATCCGGACTCCGACGCCTTATCTATTAGGCACGCGTCCGACAACCACTCACCCTTTAAGAACTGAGAAGGTGCGTGAGCACTGCAGGATTTCAACTGACTTCTTTATAAGGTTCAATATTGTGCAAGGAATTCCATTGTTGGTTCCATAATTTATCTGCTAATTTTTAAAAGGTAGTATATCAGAAAGCCTCATCATATTTTTGTCTTATCAAAATAGTACGATTTTTGCATGATGACCAAGAAAATTGTTCAATATAATCGACGGTCCCATGGTGTAATGGTTAGCACTCGAGACTCTGAATCTCGCAATCCGAGTTCAAATCTCGGTGGGACCTCTTTTTTGTGTGTACTTAAAAATGGTTTTGCATTAACAGATCGTGAATGCATGATTGCTTTTTTAATCCAGTGTTTCATAAAAAAAACAAAACTGCCGGACAAGAGATCTACCTGAATGCAATGTGTACGAGATGCACGAGCTCTGTCGCACTTCACCTTTTCTTTTGCTAAGACTTTGAGCGATATTAACCTGTTCCCCATCCGCTTCCTAGGAGGTGTCAACTTGGACATTCCATCGGACTGCATCTGAAACCGTTTTCCAACTTCGTTTCTGCCTCAATGCTATCTGCAAAGTTTCTCTGCTTTCTAGATGACGGCTGACCAGTCAGTGGGGATATCATGTTGGTGTTAATATTGATGTTGGCGGAGGGGGTTGTCTTATATCACAGAGACACTTTACACTTCCCAGGCAACTTATAAATTTTATAATTTTTAATTTTGTTTATAAAAATACCTTATAAAATGAATTGTTCCGTTTTGGGTTTTAGAAATAAAAAAATAAATCCCAAATGTGTGTCAATTCATTTCTCCTGTCAAATAATAATCTAAAATTTTATGCAAATTATAACCCCTCGGAGGGTCCCATGGTGTAATGGTTAGCACTCGAGACTTTGAATCTCGCGATCCGAGTTCAAATCTCGGTGGGACCTTTTTTTTTTCTTCATCTATAATGCGAAATATCCGAATGTGATGGGACATGAATGAATTTTTTATTCACATTTTTTTCCGTACCATTTGAGGTCCGTATTATTCCCATTCGGAACATTTTATTTGTACATTCACAGAAAAATAACGAAACGAGACATACACAGATTAGTCCAGTTTTGCTACTCAAATCTCGTTCAAATCTCGGTGGGACCTATAGTTTTGTTTCATCTTTTGAGTACGCCTTATGCGAAATTATAACATGGATATGTGTTTTAAACTTTCTGTTCCAGTGCTAGTTTTAATCAATATTATTTTATTCCCGGATGGAAGATTTGATGGTTAACGTTGCATCCACTGAAAATTATGAAACGAGACAGGCGCATTTCAGTTTATTTATTTATTTGTTGCTACAGTTACGAAGCAGACAACATAAGGCCGACCGACACCTTTGTTTTCATGTTATTGTTTTCAAACAAACGCAAAAATAAAACCGTTACTGAACGGATATGAGCTCTTTTTCTTCGGTATTTAGTAATCAAAACAAGCAATTGTCACAAAATCCATTAATTTGTAAGAACGTAAACGAAGGTCCCATGGTGTAATGGTTAGCACTCGAGACTCTGAATCTCGCGATCCGAGTTCAAATCTCGGTGGGACCTGACTCGCATTTTTATTTTCTTTTTTGACCTAGTGATAATGACTTTCGCTTTTGAGGTATAACTCTGACAATAATTTACACTGGGTAAGTTATTTTACGCGCAATATGTCTGTAGTTTACAGTATGAGAGGTTTGCGGAGCTGCCATCTTGCAGGCCAGTGCTTTTGTTCTACAGGGAATGCACAAAGGAGGGTTTCTATCTGGAACAAAAGAAATGCCCTACAAAATGGCTACCACGCAAATCTTCTGCTGCCTTTGCTTCATCTATTCAACCACATTTATTACCTGTCGTGAATGTTTATTTGTCTACATTTTATCATATAAAAGCACGGTATATAATATTTCCTCATAATGCGGGGAAAAGTAAGGTGCCACGCCTCGATTGAACGTTTTGATGATTTCACTGGCGCAACGCATTAGTGTCCACTTGATTTTACAATTTATTGTATTATCCACACGGCACAATAGGTAAAAACTTCGATCACTGATAACAAGAGAGTGACAAAAAAAATACATCTTGAAATCATTCGACCACGAAGGGATTCGAACCCTCAATCTTCCGATCCGAAGTCGGACGCCTTATCCATTAGGCCACGCGGTCTCGGACGAAGTATGGACGGAGTTGCCTCGATTTGTGGTATAGTGGTCCAAGTTCAGATCTCAATGAGATCCGCTTTCCTTTTTTGAACACCCTAGAGTTAACAGGCATGACCTCGAGGTCCGAGACAAAGGCATTCGAAACCAAGACTGAGACACAGTCCTTCAAGACCGAGACCAAGACTTCTGGAGCGAGACTTTTGCAGGTCGAGACCGAGACCGAGACCAATCTTTAGAAATGTATACTTTTTATACGAAGGTAAACAAGGAAAAGGTACATAATTATACTGATCATGTGAAATGAAAAAATAATACATGTTACACACCAAACATAATAGATTAAATATTTCTTCGAGACTTGACACTTTCTCTTTCTCTCCTAGTTGCGATGAGCTGCAGACTTTGATATTTCAATACCAATATCAGGCGTATGGTTTACTTAGGCCTATAACCATGAATTCCCCAGCCTATTTTCATTTAATTTCAACAGAAATATATGACAGCTGGCGAGTGCGTTCATGAGTGGTAGCTAGGGGAACATTTTGCTGTGGTCTCGACAGGTCTCGATGGGGAGGCCCTAGACTTTGACATCCGAGACAAAGACCGAGACCAGCACTTTCAAGACGGAGACGAACCCTTCCAAGACCGAGACTTAATTATTTTAGTGTCACCGTGTCTGGTATAATTACTTTTATGTTATCGTAGGTAGGGTTAGAGGCGTCTGTCCCCGGAAAAGATCGAGACATCGCCGATGCCAGCAGGGTTAGGTTCTCCCTGTTGACGGGGCAGACGTATCCCCATACTGAGGTTTGGGAACGAGCGCGTGACATTCATTCATTTATCCTTATCCTTTCATTTCTTAAATTACTTACTTTTAAGTTAACTTGTACTGTGCCGTTGATAATTTTTATGGAAACGGCGCATTATAAATTTTCAATTGTTATCATCATTATTATTATTCAGATCGAGACCACAAAAATGGTCTCGAGACGGAGACCAGGTCTCGAGACCTAAAACGCTGATGCTTATCAATCCCAATTTTTTTTTACATTGAAAAAGCAGTGTTATTTACTGATAATCGCAACAATAGTCTCTCCATATTCGGGCATGTGGGCTGCTTATGTTCCTGGATTTTTGAGTTACCCGTCTTTTACAAAAAGTAAGGTGACCTCGAAGGGATTCGAACCCTCAATCTTCCGATCCGAAGTCGGACGCCTTATCCATTAGGCCACGCGGCCGACAAGCAATTTTCATTTGAAAATGGAAAACGTGCGTGAGCACCATCGGCTTTCAACTGACTTCATTGTAACTTTGTAAGGTACAATACTGTGCCAGGAGTTCCATCGCTGTGGTCCATAAATTTATCTGCTAATTGCTGAAAGGTAGGATATCAGAAATCCATGTCATATTTTTGTCTTGTCAAAACAGAATGATTTGGCATGATGACTAGTAGAAATTTTTCATTGTCGGCGACGGTCCCATATGGTTAGCACTTGAGAATCTGAATTCTGAAGTCCAAGTTCATACCTAGGTGGGACCTCTTTTTTTCGATGTTGTTTTCAATATTTCTGGCACACCAGAATTTGAGGAAACGATCGATTTTTCACCGAAGAACCTACCTGACCTAATTGAAGAGATCTACTTAAATGCGATGTTTGTGAAATGCAAGCTTTGTCGTCATTAACGCTGTCTTATGCTAAGACTTTGAGCGACAGCGACGTATCCCCCATCGGCCAACTGGGGCTAATCGGAGTTGTAAACATGCATATTGGCATTCCATCACACTTTATCTTAAACTGTTTTCCAACTTCGTTTGTGCCTGATGCTGTCTGCTATATTTCTCTGCTTCCTAGATTGCGGCTAACCAGTCAATGGGGATATCATGTTGGTGTAAATACTGATAACTTGTTGGCGGGGGGGGGGTGTTTCTATCACAGAGACACGTTACACCAGCAGATACCTTATACTGCATTGTTCAGTTTTTTTAGTTTTAATTTAGAAATAAACTTTAAATCCTAAATGTATGTCAAATCAATTTCCAAAATTAAATACATGAATTACTCCCGAGGTTTAGAGCAAATTCTCATCAATCAGAAGGTCCCATGGTGTAATGGTTAGCACTCGAGACTTTGAATCTCGCGATCCGAGTTCAAATCTCGGTGGGACCTGTTTTTTTTTTCTTCATCTATAATGCGAAATATCCGAATGTGATGGGACATGAATGAATTTTTTATTCACATTTTTTTCCGTACCATTCGAGGTCCGTATTATTCCCATTCGGAACATTTTATTTGTACATTCACAGAAAAATAACGAAACGAGACATACACAGATTAGTCCAGTTTTGCTACAGTGACCATGCCGGCTACAGGATGAGCGACACCTTGGTAAAATTTCTTTTATTTATTTATTCAAACAAAGACAAAATACACAGTTACTGGACGGATGTACAACTCTTTCATTCAGTATTTACATCAGTGGCGAGAGCAAGCAAACGTTACAAAATACATTAATTTTTTAGAACATCAACGAGGGTCCCATGGTGTAATGGTTAGCACTCGAGACTCTGAATCTCGCGATCCGAGTTCAAATCTCGGTGGGACCTAGATTGCATTTCTACATTCTTTTTTTGACCAACTGATAATGACTTTTGCTCTTGAGGCGCTCTGACCATTGCCGTAGCTGCAATCCTCGTGAGACTTGGCATGTACGAAGAGACAACCACTACAAAGTCAGTTTCGTTAGACATGGGTTTTTGCTTTCAGTGGGCCGTCGTGTCTTGGAAAAAACGGATATGTTCCGAGGACAAAATAACTGCGTCCGAGTTTCATACAATTGTATTTCAATATGACCACAAGAAATCTGTGGAAAACTCAAGGCTTGGCATGATCTAATAATTTTATCATATACTGTAATGATATCGGAGAAAATGTAGCGGGTGGGGTAAATCGGGAGTGTGCGAAATCAATGCGTTTCTCAATACCCCCCCCCCCACTCCAACGATAGTGGAGTACGGTAAGTGGTACTTGGTGGACTAAGTAAAGCCAGCTGATTCAAGAGGTGTAATAGTTTCTGCGGTTCATCCAGTCCTTTAATTTCAGTAGGAGACCACGGACTCCATTCCGTGCCGTTGGGCCTTGAGCCGTAGACTCGCTATGCTCGAGCACTTCCGATCCTCTCCCGTGATCTTTGGATTGAGGCCAGGCATCGGACCAATGGGCGACAGAGAGGGGATGATGGGCGGGGCCGGTATGGCGATGCCGGCCGCTGATTGGAGAATTGGAAAAGGTGACGTTGGCAGTCCACTGATGGAGGAGAATTCGCCGGCTAATGAGCACTCGGCAAATGAGTGGACACTTGGATCACGTTTCTGAAATAGAGAGTGGTACAACAGACAGAAAACCGTCACAGAGCAGTGCGCTCCAGGTCCCCCTTAATTCGCTCATTCCCACCGACATAATGATAGGAACGTGCAATTATGTGACCTATATATTTTTTTCGAGCTACACCAAATAGATTTGTCAGAACGAAACAAATCAACACTCGTGTGCACATTGCATGTGCTCGCTGAATCTACATGCACTGAATTGTAGCGACCCCACAATGCTTGCTTCGTCTTTACTTTCTACACAAACAAATGTGAAAGGCATTAGCACATCCCGGTGGACATACAATTCCCAGGACACGGACCTTCCTACGGAGCTCTGGAAGTGCCATTCTACTTGTCAAGATCCTGACATATTTTATCTCAGGATGACGACATATTACGGGCAATGTAGCGATATCATGAGATGTCTTATCACAGGATGAAGACAGCCTGGAATGGAGATGACAACAACCCGATATAATTAATTTATCATGGGATGACGATGTCCTAAAAGTTGGATGACGACACCCTGAGTTAATTTGTAATGGGATGACGACATCGTAGAAGTGGTATGATGACATTATTTGTCAATGGCTGCCGTGACAAACCACCGTGAAAACAGGTGGTCTGAGTTGGTAGTGTTTTTCAAAGCACTGTTCTCCTGTTGCCATACATGATTTTAATTAGAATGATAACGCGTCATGATGTCTCATCACCTGTTACAAGTAATGAAGTAGACATCACACTTGGTGGATGTCTCTGGATGATGACATCATGAGCTAATGATTATCTCAGGATGTCATTATCCAACTTTTAGGATGTCGACATCTTGCCTTTATTATGTTGTCAAACCCGAGAAAAATGTGTCACGATCTCTACAAGCCGGATGGCACTTCCAGAGCTCCGTACCCACCAGTTCGACTCGTTAAGGAACTAGACACGTACCGCAAAGTCGATGCGTGGTAGAGATTTGGGTGCTGGGACGATGTGCGTAATCTTGAGGTCTTGCAGCCCACCAAAGTTGCCCAGTCGCTCGTACTTCCGCCATTTGGCACGTCTGTTCTGAAACCAGATCTGTTTGAGGTAGAAAGCAAGAGAAATAATAACAGTAATAATAACAGGCTGGCGTGGTTGCTTCAACAGTTAATATTTTGTGGGACAATGCTAAACCAAAAAGCAAAAATGGAAGGGATCACCTCACGCGATTTCTGGAGAGATTGACGTCAGTTATTAAGTTGATTATGGCCAAGACAACCATAATATTCTCAGTTACTCAAAATTGTGGTCAAAGAAATGATAGTTCTGAAGGAATAGTCGGTACACAAGGCGTTCAACCACGATGCACGGGACTCCAAGATGTGCAGTAATATTCCTCACCTGGATTCTCTGCTCTCCAAGGCAGGTTTTGGCGGCTAAAATGTCCCGTGTTTGAACATCCGGGTAATGCGTCATCTGGAAAACGCACTCGAGCTCCCGCAGCTGCTCCGGGGTGAAGGTGGTGCGGATCCTGCGCTGTCGCTTGGTGGGGCTCTTCTCGTCCGACGGGGACTCGTCTGAAACTGAAAACGGGCGTATACCATGCGCCACGGACTTCATATTAAAAAAATCGGGATCCGTTATCAAGGCATGCTTGTTTCGCAGAGTCTGGATTTTGATCAGTGATCCTAACGCTGGCTCACACCATCCATTAGGCGACCTTTGGTGTCCGTAAACCACCGCGTTTAAAATAAACGGACATCTGACCGTGTCGAATACAGAGGTAATACAAAGGTTTGCTCGCTGATTGTTAACCAAATTCGTTCATAACATCAACAGTATCAACTGCAAGTGAGTCAACCAACTTTGAATTCGGCACAGTAAAATGGCCGCCGGGGGCTTCAGTCGGTTCAAAGGCATTGCGAGTCTGGTAGATGTTTTTATACGACGCCCGTGGTGTATGCTCAGATTTATGGGGGCCTTCGTGGAAATAGTACTGGTAATAGTACTGTTGGAGTGTTAATGTTGGTATTAGTCATAATGATGTCGATGCTGTTTACTTACCTGGTGAGCTGAGACGGACGGAGTCGCTGCCACCCCGCTTTCTAGCTGTAACTTCCAGGTTCCGTTGATTTTTCGACACTAAACAGCCATCGTCACGCGGTGCAAGCTCTCCTGCAACGCTGGTTTCCTTCTTCACGTCGTCGATTCTTACGCCCCGTTTCCATTGCGACTCATCACGTGTTTTCCCTTCGACCAGGTGGTGGTCGGGACGGCCTCCGTGAGAAGCCTGGCGGTCCTCGTGACTGCGAAGTTCCTGTGGCTGGGAAACGTTGCGGCCAACAGTGTCGTTTCCTTTACCTGGACTCCAAACTTTTGCGGACCGAGGGGCGGTGCCAGTCAAGGGGGGCGACCGTGGAGAAGAAGGTGGCGTCTGGCCAGTCGGGGGTGCCCTCGTCGCTTTACGTTTGGGGCAAGGGCGTCGTGAATGCCTTGGTACTTTGGGTGATCGAGACGGTACACGTGTCGCTGATTCTGAGCAAAGTGCCATCTTCTTGCTCTGATCTAAGGTCAACAAAACAAAGTGCCCATTGACGTAAGACTTTCCCCTAAAGTTTCCTTTCCACCCAAACGTCGTGCCTAGCAAAGTACTCGGACACATAGAAATCAGCGAAGAACACAGTATTTATTTACATGGTTATCTTGACAAATTAATTAAACTACTGACTGGCATGTTCCTTTGTAGCTGTTTTTTTGACGGCAGATCAATTTATCACTGCAAACAACCCCAATTAATTCAGTGCGCACGATAGGCGCAAAACGTTTACAACTCATGAGCGACCACCAACTATGTCCACAGCCGGGCTGGTTGGAGAATTTCAGTTGACATTAAAGAGAAAAACTGGTTGCTAGGGCGAGGTTGGAGTGGCCCAAAGCTGCCGCCCCTGACTTATTATTAGCCCCAGTTATTTATGGCCCAGTTTAATTACTTTATACGCCATTTATCGACTTAGCGGCTGGCATAATTACGGCACAGTTATAAAACAATAAACCATGTCATTCCTCCTAAAAGGGGGTGGAAGCGTATTAGCCGATCAGGCGAGCCACAGACTGGATGTAATTTGGACGGCGAGAGCCGAGGGAAACTTTTTTTACAGCGCTGTTACAGCCGGCAGTAAATTGACGGCCTCACCTGGTTACCTTGGTGAAACATCTTCCATGTTTGCTGCAATTATGAGGCGCCGACTTTGATGGATTCGCTGGTCCCCAGCATGGACCCTTATTGACTCGGCACAATTTCCCCCTATTGACCGCCAATAGAGAGCGCGGCCATTAATGTTGCTAGGAAGCTGTGGCAATCAAGGTAGAATATATCGGACGACGTTGCTCCCTTTCCGGTGAATTCAAGCCTCCCTACAATGTTTGACCCTGGCCAATAAAGAAACTGTTTCCGTCCCGGGAATAACCGATTCCAGCATTAACTCTAAGTTGGACCATCGTGCCCCTCTGCAGTGCTGTGAAGTTTCAATCATTTGAATTCTCTATTTATACCCATCACAAGCGTATTCAATTTTCAATGAAAACACACTTTTCTTTCGTTGCCTTGGGGGGGGGTTTCCATGGCTGCCATCTTGCAGGCCAGTGCTGTTGTTCCACGTGGAATGCACAAAGGAGGTCGCCCTGTGGAACAAAACAACTGCCCTGCAAGATGGCTACCACACAAAGCGTCTATACATGTACCACCAACTGTACATCTACCACTTTATTCTCCTCTTAAAAACAGGTCGATCTACGCCCGGGAGACATCACCCCATTGGGGTAATTCGTGATCTTGTTTACATTTTCCAACAATTCAGTTTACAACCTGCCCGCGAATGGAAATACCGCTATAAACTAATAAGCGCTAAGTGTCAGAATTATAAAACAAACCGCGTAAAGAAGAGCGAGTCAATAAAGGCGGCCTTGCTTTTTTGTGTTGGTATTTTCGATGTGTCAATGGGGCTTAGAAGGCTACGGGAAAAGCTTGTAAACTCCGCTGAGCAAACAAATCGGTACTCACGCAAAAAGACACCAGCAGCGATAGCGTCATGCCGGTTGTCGGTGTAAGGATTGCTGGCTTCGCGCAAAACTCCCGAAGCCGTAGGCATTGATTTAATGATTTAAAAAATATTTCTTTTTCATGAGAAGTTAACGCTCTTGTGATTGACTGTGGTGGCCATTGGGTCACAGAAACGACACCTGCCAACACAAAGGAGGATTCGTCATCTCGCACTTTCCGTTCAAGTTTAGAGGTTTCGCTACGACTTTGGTCAAACTCAAAATCGATCAGTGGCTAAAGTACTGATAGATTTTCCCTGGTTACAAGGGCAGAAAAACATATCATGCGTGGGTACCAATTGTTGCGGATCGAACGTGATCTTGGATGAAACCCTAAGAAAAAGACTACGTCTGGAAGCCAGTGGCGTATATTCTGTGCAGGAAATGGGGGTGCAGTTAGGGACTTGGGGGGGGTGACTTGTACAGCCATGCAAATTTAATAGGGGGGTGCTGACACCATGTGGCACTATGTAGGGGCGATGTTCATACAGATGTAGTTATTGCTTGTTTTTGATTATTCCCCCTTGTGAGTGTTATTGAATACATATTGGTGGTTGGGAAGTCCGGAAAATTCTTCACAACCTGTCTTAATTTTGCTAAGTATGGGGAGATGATTCAATAGCTGCACCAATCTCTTAGAAGAAACCAATTTCCCGGGCCAAGTTTGGCCCTCTGCACCCGCACTAACGTCAGTATGTTACTTATTCAAGCGGGAAGCAAAAAGATGTGACCTACGAACCGGTCACTGTTTCTGGGGCCTTTTAAAGAAGCAATACCTTCATGTTTGTTGTCTCACACTGCCCTTACCCACTGCCAGTGAGAAGGAAACATTGAACCATTTATTTTTTTCCGCGCAGTGCTAATTTGCATCATTAATTCAAATATTCCGTGTCTTTAATGCCCTCTTTGAAACATTTTGATCGAAAATGGCCCACAAATTATATACTTATTTAATTTCAATTGACGAGTCATAGCCGCGTCCTGTTCCTCTTCGAGAGTATTAATAATTAAATCAACCTTTTTAATGTACATACTTAATGAAAACAACGTTTTGAAGACTAACAATGTTTTGAAGACCAAAATAGAGTACATTCTGAAGTATTTCACTTTTTTCAGGGTAGCAACGATTCTATGCCTTTTATGATATTATGGTATATTAGTATCTTTCAAGAGTGGGATCAAGTAGACGCTGTTCAACGCTGTGCTCAAGTAGTTTGAAACATGGCAAAATCGTCGAGGCTAATCCTTCATCTTGCCGTTATTAAAAGTCAATGCTATCAGTGAGTATGAGCTGATGTCGAGACTAAGTAGTGATAGCGTGGGCGCGCCGTGTAGCCGAGGTACTCCAAGTGGCAATATGCATGCACTTCAAGCAGAAAGGCTTGGGAACAGACTAATTGTGGTCTTTACTCTCGAACGTCCAAGGGCAATGTAATTACTACCTGGCAATTGAGGGAGCATCATTTGTTCTGGAAACGGATGCACATCAAATTCGCAGTTGGGATAAATCGAAAGATTAATGTTGGGGCCTTCTGTGGAAAGTCGCGCAAAAAACCCTGGATTGATTGAAAGATGACAGAGTTGACAAAGACAAATTCGACAAAAATTGTTCAAGATGCTTCACTGTGATAAATAACACGCAATTACCGGGTACACGCTGAATTACTTATTAATTTTAGCGATTAAAACAATCGTTCTTTTTTCTTAAATCAAATTGTGGCTTTCTAAACCTCCATCAATTCAATGCTGAAACTGTTAAACAAGGGGAAATATTATTTTTGAGATTTTGAGATTTTCTAACATCAATGTTTAATGTAAAAGTGTGAATCATGAATCGTTTTCAAAAGGATTTTGTCCAGAAAGTGGAAAGTTTCATTTTTCGAATAAGTTATAATCATCTTCGTTCCTGCTTCTCCCGTGTAAAGCCTTTTTTAATTTGATTAATTTAAATGGAAAATTAAAAGAATAAACTTACCTGAATCTCGGATTCCCTCCGTTTGCGCAAAGTCAACCCGTCTGTCGGCAATGAAGGCTTCCGGATGAATCAGGATTTCCCCGCCTGGTCTGACGCACCGTCCGGTCAGACCCAACGAATGATAGGCAGGTGTTACGCACCCATGTCCGGGGTGCACTAGCGAGGACCAGCCGCCAGTGGCGAGTGGGACGGGCCCAAAGTGCCGATACCACCCGGAGAAATCTCTCAGAAACACGGGTTGTTGGCGGCACGGTCCCGGGAGGTGGGCGATTGGGACCTTATCAACAAGCAAGCCGAGCTCAACGCCCGGGACTGACGACGCCTTACAGGGTTGGTTTTCACCCGCTGGGGCGGACGGGTGAGCAGAGTCCCCCTCGGTGGACTCGGCCTGGCTAACTGCCCCATCCTCCGCGGGGTCGTCGCTCTCGCCACGGTGAGCAGCGGACTGTCCGTGGTAATTTAGCGCAGATTCCTCATCAGGAGTTGACAGATTGCCGACTTGGCTCATAGGCCTACTACTGGCAGTGTGGGGCGGATTCACACACGCGGACGGAGGACCTTCGTAAGGCCCCGTGGCGTATTTTCTCTCCTCAGAATCTGTAGCAGTCAAAGATTTTTCGATAGCTTTGGAGCCCTCAGGTCCAGAAAAGCTGTCCCCAAGGATCGATCGAATGGAGTGTTTGAGAAGCGGCGATTGGACGCACCACGTGCAACAGGTGGTCGCCATGAGGGCAGGCAGATACCTGAAATTAATATACCAAACGATAAATGCTGGAAAAGTAAGCTCAATAAAATTCTTGTTGGTTATTCAAAGAGACACTTTGTACGCTGTGTGTTGTGTTAAATGCGGAATAGATGGCTGATTTTCAGAACTTTAATTTTAAAATTTCGGTCTGGCATCAAAATGACACCAAATAAACATTTCGGAAGGAGTGTGATTAAGGTGCATGCGGTTTGCAACTTAAATACACCCACTTTCTGATTACGGGGCATAGCGGACTTTGTTTACTTTAGGGAGAGGGAAGGGACTCCCCCGCTACCATCACCAGTTGGTCACTGACACTTGGGGGGTAAACCACCCAAGAAAGTGTATCAAGCCATGTGTTTTTAATTTTCTTTAATGGTCGATGAAATGACGTGCGTTAATGACACCAAAGTAAATATCGTTAACCCACGATAAACTGTAGAGCAGATGTATGGATGAAATTCAGCGTGTACCATCGACAGCATTGACTTGGTACGACCACGTTGTTCTTACATACTAGTCTAGGTGTTTACGCACTGAGTTATTAAGCTTTTTCAAAAGATGCAAGAGTGGCCAGTATTTACGGCACTTCTGTTACTTTCGGGCACACCGGCATCGTGATTTCTTCGATTGCCTTACGACCATGAGGCGTACAGCACACAGCGCGTTTCCACGTGAAGTTAGAAACGGCTTAAAAGCCATCATTGATCATTCCTTGCCGACTCTCAGTAACCTCTTCCAGTTGCCAAACTTTCAGCAGGGCTGCCGCTGTCATCTCTTCGTCTTCCGTTCTGCGACCTAGTAAAACTGCGAGGCGGGCGACACACAGGTCTCCATAACTAATAATCTCGTCTATTCTTTGAACAGTTGACTGCGGTACACATTATTTTGTTGAGAAAAAAGAAATAACGAAAATCTCACCTGGTTTGTCTTTAATCAGAGGTAGTTTAATGTTGCCAAACAATGAGCTGACCTCTCAAAAGATGCTGAACTCTAACGTCGAAGTTACAATTTATTTCAGCTTTATTATCTTGGTATAATTATTCCGTACGCTTTCAGGTACGGTGTACAGCGGTGCGTACGGACCTACCAGCGCTGCACGTGTGGTTTTGTGCGGACCAGTCAACACAGACAGCGGGTTAAATACTAAATCACCTTCCTCCAAAAGGCACCTTCAAATCTCAAGTGTTACCCCGTTTTTATGGACAAAAGAAATTGCCAATTTTTATTGCGACCACCGCACCATAAATGCGGGGTGCTTGTCTTCAAACAACACGGCATGATAGCAGCAAACGAGTGCAGCGGAAACAATGTTTGCTTTATGTAAACTAGTAATAAAGTAGCTCGATGTAAGTGACTTAACGAACAAGCGGCGATAAGAAGGAGGGTGAGTAAGCCAATAGGAGAGAGGCTTATAACGAGCTGTGCAAACACGACGAGGCGATAGCGCGTGATTGAAAAGAGGGTGCGTTATCGGGAATTCCATTGGCTCGGAGTAGCAACGCTGACGTCTAGCCGTTGAAAATATCGCTTCTGTTTTTTTCCTCAAGTCTGAAGAGGGAAACTGGACTGAAAGTGAAAGGGGAGAAGCAGCGTTGTTTATATATTTGGAGCCTGCTCAACCCTTTCTTGCTTCAGAGAAAACATATTCATTGCTTATATTTTAACGAGAAAATATTGTCAAAAAGGGAGAGCGTTTAGAATGGCGCGCGGCACTTTACGTCGAACCAGGGACGATGGCTGAGCGACAGTGCAATTTTTGTCTTGATACTTTATGTTACATGCGATCTTGTGGTTCAACCCATCGATTATTTTCACGTTCGATACGAAATCTCCACCCCTATATATATCTAAAATACGAATTAAGGTTTCGGTGTAACGCGAAAAAAAAGGTTTGCCAAGATGTCCCAATAGCAACTCCCCGCAGCCGAAACCCTTGAGAAGTGGGTGTCTTATGAAACTGTGACACCCCCCCATGAAATCTTGACTCTTTATGCCTTATGGATTATACACTCTGAAAACTCCCCGGGTCAGATTGATCCAGAATTGAGTCCCATTCGGCATGACCCTTTTCCAGGTCAAATATGACACAGAACGGATCAAATGTGACCCAGAAAGGGTCAAATATGATCGGAAAGAGGATCATATTTTGACCGAGAAAAGAGTCACGCCGAATGGGACCCAATTCTGGGTCAATCTGACCCGGGGGGTTTAGAGTGTAAGCCTCATTTATTCCATTGACATGTGCACTGAGTCATCTGTGCACTGGGTCAGGGTTACTGCTTCCTCGTGTCCCCCCCCCCGCATGAGTTGCCATCCAAACTCGTCTAAGTTATTATGCGCCCTTGAAAATGTTACAATGTTCCTGTCGATGCCCGTCGTTCCCCTGACCAAAAATTAATTACTAGACCGGATTTAATAAATCCCTAATTAGTCTCGTTGCGCATGATACTTGATGAATGAAATAGATCCGTATTGTCTTCAATTACATTAATGAACCACACAGCTGGGTAGCGGTACAGCGCCATGTGTGTATCGCTTAGCTATGTATTAGGGATCGCGATCAGCAGGACAAATATTGATCTATGTGCGTCCCTGTTTGGCACATCATTAAAGTCGTCCGCATGAAGTCGGTGGTGCTTTTGAAGTCCGTGCATTTGCCCTGATTCGACGGAGTTTGACCTCGTAACAGGGGGAAAGAGGTTTTTTTCGAGTTACGGGACCACAAAGCCGATGTTTTAAAGGACGAAGAGCAGATTGGTGGAAACGACGTTACGTGCCGGTTGTTCTCCACAGCTGTGAAATCCAGTGGGAGGTGGGACGTGAAATATCGTTTCCAAAAAGGAATAGAGGGGAAAACAACTGCTTGAATTCTTACGAATCATCTCACGAGTTATTCTAAGTCTTTGTTGAGTAAGGATAAACTTTTGCATTTTCGTCCATGTACCATATCAAAATATATGCATACACACTTTCATCTTCTTCAGGCAAATTTGAATTCTCAGATCTGATTGGTCGATCCATGGCAACTCAACAGTGTGACACTCTATTGCGCTGTTCATATCATACCCCGCGTAATGGGCTGTTCGAACTCAACGCATTGCGCTATTTCTACGCTAAAAGCAAAACGCACATCTGCAAAAATTACATCTTTACTGCGCGTCAAGTTTGAGGACAAATTCGTTATCACGATCGCGTTCGTAGAACACAGACTAATGTTGTGCGTCTGTGTCCCGTATAGAGTACCGAAGTGTGACGTCACTTTGAACCAGAAAGTGCAGTGCAAACGAATCGAGTACGCGCGCGTGTTGGTTCACGCGCTGGTTCTCGCGCTAATGCCTTTTACACACTAATTGTGCGCGTGAAGTACATGCATTCACTTCAGTACTCTACCACTCGCACTTGTGTGATACGGTAATAAACAACTTTACGTTTTATTATTTCTTTAACAAGTTTTTACGTTTTTCATCTCCTTCAACTTAGATACAAACAGGACGGACCTAGAACCTTTTTTTTGGGGGGGGGAAGCAAACATTAGATGATATTTATGTAATCTCTACGGGCTGAACTAATTTAGACTTTCTTACAGAATTTGGGGAAAAGACAATAAAATAGCCCTAACTCCACCTTCTGTTCCTGTGAAGGAGGCAAACGTTTCATTTGCCCCATCCCTGGACCTGTCATAAGGGTGTCTCATTGCCAACTGTGGTGTGAGCAGAGCGAAATGATGGAATAAAGTTACTCATTGACAACACTTTAATTTCCTCACTCGCCACTGAAGTATTTGAAACTTCTTGTATCCATTTTGGCCGGCCTTCCTCTTGCTTGTTAACGCTGCTGTTATTTCTAGGTAGAAAGGCTTTTAGACCCCATTTTTAGAAAGGAGTTTTGAGATTGAACCGTCTAGAAGCATATGATAATACGCGTATATTTTTTATGTGTCATGTTATGTGTTATATGCGATGAACATCGGTACTTGATTTTTTTTGACGACGACCACCAGCTGCATGTTACAACAACAATGAATGGGATCCCGCTCGACCTATGCACACATTCAACTGATACCAATCTACAAGCAATTGACTTTTAATTTGATGCGTGTACTTCAGGACGCTCATTAAAGGATACGCTACGGGCACCAATTTGAGCGGGCCGGGCCTGGTCGAGCCGGCGATATCGCAGTTATTAAATATCAGCGTTTTTTAATAACAGAAGAATTCGCCATTAGAGCGCTGTGCACACTAAAATGTTCTCGCATTGGCAATAAAGTTGGGGTTTATTAATGAGAATTAGCCCGGTTGAGCACTTCATAAGGGCATATCGTCTGCACCCTTCGGCGGCCAAGCAATAACAGTTTGTGTTTTGGAAAATGACTTTCAAAAACATCGTACCGGCGAGACAAAAGAATCCACAGATATGGATAGGCCTAATAATGTATTCAAAAGCTTTCTCTGTGAATAGGTGATGGACGTACAGCCTGCGCAGTGTTCAAGATGCAGAAATTGGCAGACTTTTCAAAATTGCTCAAAGTCTATGTTACTTCGCCCACGTTTCTAAAAAATGAAACTTTTGTTCTTGTTCACATTGAGGAAGCTTTTATGTTAATTTCCACGATCGGCATTTTCTGATTATATTGTTTTGCTTTTCATCCTCGTATACAGCGAGTATAGAACGGGGTGAAAAAAGGAGCTTTGGAATAAATTGTCAAAACTGACAGTAGTTTTCAAATAAGATACAAAAAAGGAGGTGCGTTGGAAGTAGCATCTTGTGGTAGATCTAAGACTGTTGTGGATGGTGATTGGGATACTGGATTGAGTTCAGAAAGGACCTTTTTTTATAGGAAGGGAAGCTTGGGATAGTAAGTTGAAAACAAGTCCTATTGTTAATTAGGTTTGCCATTCCAAACATCTTCTGGATCCAATATTTGATATCCTCCTTTAGTGCTTCGAGTACAAGATGAATTGAACACTGGATGCCTGGCGTAAGAATGGATTTCTAACCTACTTGTGTTGATCTCAAAGCGTGCATGTGTGGGCGTTCTTCAAATGGACCTGATTGTTTCACACGGCCTGCATGGGTCGCGATCAGTGATCCTGTAGAGCTGGTTCTCGCTATTTTTTTAGCGGGTTCTAGTGTCAGGGAAACACATCACTGATCGGGGTCCGGATCCGCGTGAAACAAAACAGGCCGAATGCAAGCCTTTCTCGATCGGCTGCGTTGGCAGCGATATGGCTACATTGTGTTCTTTGTCGTATTGTTCCCCCATAACGGTACGGTGATTACCCGTCGGCGTTCGAGCCAGCTACTCGTGTAAATACGAGTATACTCCTGAGCGCTCGAACGGCTGAAGTACGGATCGGCGGGTCAACGAGATAGTCGCTCTCGCTAGAGGAAGAGTATAGTCCCCTGCCGACCCGAGTTACGGTAATACACACGCATCCTACTGGTGTTAAAGGGGTAACCGCGCGAACGCACCCCAAAAAGTTCCGTTCCAAACTCTAGGTGCGTGAGATCGTTTCTTGTAAACAACTTACCATGCAGTAGATGAAAGGCAACCCCCGTCTTCAGTGTACGCCTACATCACAATAGTACTTCAATAAAACGAATGTCATGCATGGCAGTAACTATTGAATGCATAATAAGTATTAAAAACCAGAAGCAACAATGGTGTCAGTTTGTTACCTGCTTGTGCAGTCCCTCTAGTCCGCGTCCTCCCTCCTAATTGATTTGCCGTCAAGCACATTAATCTTAAAGAGAGGTTACACCATTTTTTGGAGGTGATTTTACAAGATTTGCTGAATAAAGGGTATAAAAAAAATTACTGCAGCATTCCTTCCACTGACTTACACGTTTCACATCTGAGTCAATTACCGTTGAAAAAAATCGAAAAAACACAGCAGCCTTTCGTCACTGCGGATAATAATCATATTGACAACGTTGTTACAAATAACGATTACACTGCACGATATTACAAGCCTATTTAACCATACGGTTTTGGGCCGATACTTACAGTTACACATGAATCTAAATATATAGGCCTACTACAAATAGACATGTGCGATTCGGCAGATAGGAGTATCCGGTGTGTTTAGCCTAACAGAAACGGTGAGTAAATTGCGACAGGGAAATGTCATGGTGCTATTTTTGAAGATGCCAATCTGTGCTGTCTTTGAATGTAGGCAAAGGCACATGCCCGGCTACGGGCGTGCGCCGCGTTTGAAATTCACATGCGCAGAGGCGTTTTGAAAGTTCAGGCATGACGTATAGTCTCTCTTTGGGTCCACATCTGTCTCTTAGTAGACGTAATCACGTCAGTGGCAGATTTAGCATTGATCCAAAAGGAGATTAAGTGATATGTCATGTACGGACGGGGGGGGGTAGAACGCAAACTTACAAGCACATCACGGTAATCTTGTTTTCTACAGAATCATCAAATAACCACTTGATAACAAATGAGAAAAATAGAGAAGGAGCAGGATTTCTGGACCTACATGTACTTCTTGCATCCGTTGCCCCCGGCTGGAATCTACAAATTTGCGCATACCGGTGTATCTCTAATTAATAGACTTACTATTAACAAACACAGCACAGGTAAAACGGTGAACTCGACAGTTGGACAGGTGACACGTTACTCAATCACGCACATTTGCACTGTATAAGCTGGTGCGTTTTTGAAATCTGTACCTTTATTTCGCAAAGCTGCCATTTTGGGCATGTGATCCCATTCAGTCAATATCCTGTTTAAAAAGGTTGCTTTAATTAAACATTAAACTTTCATTAAACATTCAACTATTACGTTTGCGATGCGATATTTGAAAAACAAGTCATTAAGTAAAGGGAAATTTCCAAGAGAGCAACATGTAACTGTGCAATGTTTCACAATATAGTGCGCCACCAAGAGTTTGCAACGCGTTGGCCAATCACAGCGCGCGAAATCTGTCGACCAATGCGCGTTTGGAAAGGGTCGACAGATTTCTCGCCTTTTGATTGGCCAACGCGTTGCACACTCCTGGTGGGGCACTTGTGTGAATCGCCCGTATTGCTTAGTTGTGAGAAATGAAATTCTTTTCAAGAACACTTCGAACCATGCCGATTTATTGATGCGCTTTTCTATTACAGGGCTGACACACTACCGGATTTTGAAACATTTACCAAGATAAACAAAGAAACAAACTGTTATCATGAATGAAATTAATCATTTGCGTGGAGAGAAAAAAAATCGATCGCGCTGAGGTTACAAACGATGAGGTCAGAAAGCTTAAATACAAATTGACGCACACATAAACACAAACACAAAACAAAAATGCTCGGATTCGAAGTGTAAACGGTGTTGCTTCATGACTCCTGAGGGGTGCACCCTCGTAAATAGGCCAGAAATGTGTCCGCCGAGCTCATTAATAAAAGTTATACACTGAAAATATTCTATATTAGAGGGTCCTGAGAGCCATGGAACTGAGGAATTGAAGAAATATGAGACTGAACCTCTGGGCCTGACTCAGGGCTTCCAATTCTTAGCAATTTGGATGCAATCGGGTCTGAAAGTGGCATTATTTGAGCCATTTTGCAGAGGGATGGTTTTTCAAAATGGCTACTTTTCCGGACAGGGACATTTTCTTCATTTTAGTCGGTCAACCCCCCCGAAAATTGAAAGGAAAATGAAAGGGGACATGTGGAACATCACTTTTCAGTGCAGCCTGAACACCTGTGAGAGTTGTGAGTATTTTTAAAATATTTGTGAAGTATGGGGATTTATCGCAGCTGTCTATGGGAATTTATTTGTAGTGGTGCACGCTGAGAGTGATTTGAGCCCAAAAAACTTCTAACACAGTGTCATTATCCATAACAGGAGTATAGCGCCGCCACTCAAAAAGCTCATTATGATTTTTATTAGTCACATGACACGTGTGAGGGTTGACGGCTGCAGTACATGCGTGTACACGACGTAAGTGACCGCCACATGCATACATCCATAACACGCTCCAGGCTCGTTCCGCCGCTCCGCCCATATTAATGGTTAGTTCCCATCCAGTAAAATACCGCTCGAACGTGATAACCTCCAGGCTCAATCAAGTCAACGAAAGCCTACTTGTAAGTTTCAAACGGATTTTTTTTCCAAATTTCTCATTAAGTAACGTTATTTGATGAAATATTTTTTACAGGAAGATGAAGAAAAAGGACTTTCTGAAGAAATTGAATAAGCGAATTCATGACACTCTACATGAGTTGCAAGTTTCTCGTTATTGATTGGCTGGTACCCAGCTGTCAACAATGGGGTAACAGAAACTGGCTTGGACTCGCCACCAGCGAAAACTTTGTGATTCTATGCGTGCACTGTTTGTTGCTTTTATGTACAATTAAGTTACCGGTGTCTCTTACCAAATATTTTTGTATCTTGTTTTGAAGGTAACGCAAAATAACCAGAATTAAAAAAAATAAAAATAAGCGGTAAAAAATATACAAAAACCCCATCAACTTCTTTAAAGTGGGTCTCGAGCGTTAGCATGACATAAAAAGTGAAGAAATGTGCTCCTTTTTGGCTGCCATGCAGCGCATGTGTAGACGCGCGCTGTAGAACCTCCCAGGTTTACACCTTAGCATCGCTTCGAAGTTTTCTGTCTCTAGCAAGACGCTTATAGCCAGAACTGATCCGGTTCCTGACCCTTCATCGAAGTGACATTGCCGCACCAACAGGTACTGCGCTTCACAGTTTACAATTTCAACTTAATTAGTTCCGACGGCAGGAGGTGTACCCCATTTCACCACCCCTTTTTGTCCTCTCCCTCTTCGTTCAACCTTTGCTCATTTGCAAACTCTTACATACCTTCTGCGACTGATGTTTAAATTTTTTTCATTATAAAGTGTCTTTGAAATGTCTTGAAAATGTAAAATACGAAATAAATGCTCAACTGAATGTTGATGAACCTGGATATGCAATGTACACATTCAGTTCAACATAGGCCAACAGTAGGGATTGAAATATCAACGTAATGTAAAATTAAACTTCTAAACAATTAGTCTTTTTCCTTTTGATTACGTTATGTCCCTGTAACTGCCATGTGTAGGCCTATTCGTTTACTGCCAATCGATTCATCCCGAACATCATAATTTTGCATTCGAAGCAGACGAATCTTCGTTGGCAGCCGACTGCATTCTGGCGGATGAATTCTAAGGGAGGTGTCCTTTCGGTAATGGCGGCCAACTCGCCTTGGGAAGATTGAAGGCGTTGCTTCCGTCTACAGGTCTTCACCGACAGATTTTGCCCCATCCGGTTCTATTTTTTATGAATCTGAGAGTGACCAGAGGTTTGTCGAGTAAGTAGAAAGGGCTTGGGGTTTTTGAAACAATTTTCCTGTGTTTTTTTTGGCCTGTAATTCGGGGTTCTGATTTCAGCGATAAGTTAACGTTGGCAATTCACATTACCGCTTCGCCCCCGCTGTCGATGTCGTGCGTTTTGCACTTAGGCCTAGGCCTAATTTGTTGATGGCGACTCGCCCCGTCATGCCCGTAGTGGGTGGAATCAATTGGTGTAAGATTTGCCAGTTTTACAACGATGGGCAGTGATTAGGGCAAGATAAGCATATTTATCATAATGCATTAGGCCTAGGGGCCAACTTGGTTTCGATCCTCTGTGCTGTTTTGTGGGTTTTCAGGCCCTCTCTTCCATTTTTAAAATATTAATCCATTTCAATTCATCACGGGCATGGCCATTGACATGATTGATCATATCATGGAGGAATAAGATGTACATTTTCCTCCATGATCATATTCGTGATATTCATTGCACTCGTCATGCTCATGTCACCGGTCCATGACATACATGTATAACATTTGTACATGTAGGCCTAGGACTTGTGTGATGGTAAAAGCCTCTGGTCCATGACTGAAGCCATGGCCCCATGATAATCATGATATGAGGATGAGAAGGCTGCCCCAAAGTCCTGGTTTTAGCCTTTTTTGATTGCCCAATGACTGTGCAGTATGGACTTGGTGAACTGGTTTAATTGTGATGCTGTATTGTTACTCGAGCCAGCTTGAATGGTAATGATATGTGTACGTGCGTTTCACAATAGTGTGCCGCCAAGAGTTTGCAACTCGTGAGCCAATCACAATGTGCGAAATATGTTGACCCAATGCGCGCGTTTGGAAAGGGTCGACAAATTTTGCATGTTGCGGTTGGCCAACGTGTTTCAAACTCTTTGGGGCGCACCATTGTGAAACGCCCGTATTTATCTCATTAACCCTCCAATGCTGAAGTCACTCTTTGGGTCACTTGGTAAACACCTCAAAGAAGCACAGTTGTGTCGTGTTGTGCACTGCACCAACTGTCCCTCACAGGAATATCAGATTGCACTTGTGTGCTGCCCACCAACTGTGCTTCACTGTGT